ACTGGTGTCGGTTGCGAGCCATGTCCTGTAAAGTCTCGAGCCAAGCACAAGGTGAGTCACGTGGACTCCAACCCGGAAGGCGAGACGGACCAACGGCACCCAGTTTGGTCGTCAGTGACTTCATTTCCCGCTGTCAAGTCAACTTCTGTCCACCTCGAGCCTTGCGCCATCCTACACCTGGTAGACTGAACAAGGCCCTCCTGGGTAAGCGGTGACCAGGCATGCGTAACACGTGCCCGAGCCAACGTAACTTATTCAGTGCTATCTGTTGTTCTAGGGAGCTAGCATGATCATCACCACCTAGTACTCGCCTACGCACATCATCGTTGCGGACATGCTGGTGGCATCCGACACCAGCAATGCTTCGCAGACAACGATGATCAAAGACTTGAAGGCGCCTCAGGTCTTCAGACCGAAGGGGCCAAGTCTCACTACCATACACCAGAACGGCCCTCACTGTGGCCTTGTATACACGGCCTTTCAGACGGAGGGAAACTCTCTTCTGTCGCCAAAGATGACGCAGGTTCAAGAAGGCAGCTCTGGCCTTTGCAATGCGTGAGCTCACGTCAGTTTCTATGCGCCCATCATTGCTAATGCAGCTGCCAAGATAAGTGAATTGATCAACCACCTCGAGTTCCTCGTTAGCAAGCGTCAAGGGGTCATCGAGTGGCTGGTGGTCCTGCAGCAACACTGCACTTTGAAAGTGCGAAGTGCATGCCAAATAATGGGACCACTCTGGATAGGCTATTCAGGGTTGATTGTGCCGCCTCAACATTGTCGGAAAGCAAGACGATATCGTCCGCATAATCTAGATCAACTAACCGTTCATCAGGCAGCACTTCAACACCTACATTGTGAGATTCCGCAAGGGAACACTCCATGATAGAATTCACGACGAAATTGAACAAAAACGGGGAAATCGGGCAACCCAGTCGAACGCCACTTGTAGTCGAAAAGCTATCCGACAGGGCACCATAGACCCTGACGCGGCCTGTAGTGTTCGAGTATAGAGCACGTAGGATGTTGACGAATTTCGTGGGAACACCTTTCCGCGCAAGTATTTCGAACAGAATCGATCGATTGACTGAATCGAACGCACTCTTGAAATCGAGGAACACAGCTATTGTCGGTCTGCGGTATGCGTGGCGCTGCTCAAGCACCTGCCGCAAAGTAAAGATATGGTCTATACGTGTACTTGCATGGCTATCAGCCACTTGATGACGCTTTGACTCTCGATAACAAGAAACTTGAGGTAGTTGATAAATGCACCCATCTTGACAGTGATGATCACGTGGCCGCTCAGTCATCGTTAGTGCTAAAATCACATTTAATCCGCGACATCTGTGGGGCCAGAACGGGATTTCTTTCGGTCTGACAGGCCAGTTGTACATGGCCAGAGTAAGTTTCGTCCTACTTTATGAGAGTGGCTTTGTCTCTTCGATCTGAGGATTTAAATCGCATCTTGTTCGTTGGTCGTCGTTGTAAGTGCAACATTTCTAATGTCAGATGGCATTAACATATCCGCACTAATAAAATGCACAGGTTAGTGCTGAGTGGATAATCAAGCTAGTTCCGTAGAGCATTAAATAACATTAAATACATTGCGTTGATTTAAGCGACTGCTACGCATGTCTGGTCACTGCCTACCCAAGCGGGCGTCGTTTTGTTTACCAGATGTAGAATGGCGCAAGGTTTGAGGTAAGCAAATGTTTACTTGGCAGCGGGAAATGAAACCACCGTAGACTAAACTGTATGTTTGTCTCGCCTCCTAGACCGGAGTCCAGGCGACCCACCTTTATTCTGGTTCTAGACGTTACCGGACTTGGCTCACAGTCGGCACCATTGGCGCGTTTACTGTCGGCTCCCAGTTGGATGTCCTGTTTGAAGTATATGTGATAGCGGGTCCATGGCTGATTATGATACATGATAGTGAATGCCACAAAGTAGCTGTCTTGCCTATACCTCCTTACCTGCACACGATAGCCAGTCGTGACCGCATGTTGACAAAGTGTAGGCGTTTTTATCCTGGATGTTTGCTTAGGGTGTTATGGTTCTCCACTAAGTTTCCTTTCACTTCCTCTTGTTTCTATTCACTTCCTAGGTCATTATGGCGGTACGGCAGCGAATCGTCAGTTCACACTAAGGACCGATGGCTATTGATAATGGTGATGACAAATTGACCATTTAGGAATCTAGTTTGTCAAGGATGGGGCCGTCCCAGCACCTTTCATGACTGTCTACATTACAACTTCGAACCATTGGCACTTAAAGTCTGTTCATCAGGGATAAACCTATGAGGGGCGTGTCGGTCAGAGCCAGCCAACAGGAGCCCGTGACCTTTAAAGTCAACCAATGAACCAATTCCTGATGACAAGAAAGCGTGCATAAGATCGCGTATTCATTAATTGAGTCATAGCCATTATACTGCAGTGTCACGTGTTCGCCACTGAAACTTGTTGCCAAAATCTTCGTATTTTGATTTGATATGTTTGACCAAGTGGATCCGCGACAGCAGCATCGTATCACTTGTATTGTCTACAGGAACATAAAACAGACCGATAATCGCGACCAGTTTCCCCCATTATTTGCCAATAAACCTACATATGTTGGCAGCACCGTCGTTCGACATTCTGCTGACGTCATTGCATCAGCTTGGCTTGGACACTACGGAAGAGTTTAGCATGGTCATGTGATAGGCATGATTCGGAAACCTCTGATGGGATGGCTCAAGCTCCTGGCTTGTTATTATTGGGTCACTAACTCGAAGCTTCATAAATGCGGTTGACCTCACAATATCTCAGCATGCATGCGACTGCTGGTACCTGTTACAGTGAAGTATCGATACAAATCGCTGATGTTTTTCTCATCTTTTATTTTTTTATTAGGATTAGATTTGGCTGTCGATCTGAATACCTAAGGTGGACCACTTGTTCAAAATATGTTTGTTGCATGGAATAGAGTTGAACAAAGCACCTCAGCTGTTGTGCCGTTGATGTGGGTACGGTATTGAAAACCGCAAGTAACTTTCTCTTACCAGTGCATTTTATATCTTTACATGATTACCAGCAATTAATGTCCTCCATTGTTGTCGAATCACAGAAACCTTGCTCCTGAATATTTGGCCATGACATTTAGGTTTTGCCTCGAGTCTCCCTCCGCCCTTGCTCTTTTTCCCCTGTCTTTAGGATCGTTTTGATTTAAGATTGAGTGGCAACAATTCACTGCTATGCAGTTTTAATTTACTACCGCTGTTTTGTTTTCGTTGTTCATGTATGATTCAACATCATCATCCATATACCTTAGCTAATATGCCGCAATACGGACATTACAAAATAAAAACATGAGCATAACACTAAGAGTCATATTACGTACCGGGTATGAGGTCGTGTTTTGTGGGGAAGCTAAAGGAGAGGGCGAGGGGCAAAGACACTCACGACACAAATGACACTGTAGTCGACTCTTCGACACATCAATAAATATGTCTAACTTCACTCCCCGTTCAACCACGATCTCATTTATTAGGCATAACGTAACTCCATTTTTTGCGGTACGATAGCCGGATGTTGGCTCTCCGGAACGATGTCCCTCCGTTACTGGTGACTCAGTCGGCGTGCTTCTGTTTTATGTTTTTTTCCTTTGTGTTGCGGCACAATAACTGAAGTGTTTTCTACCTGCGGCTAACGTGTATAATGTAATGTATGTATATAACAAGACATGTTCTTCGTACTTCAGATCCCAGCTCGACAGTCGACAAACACAACCGATGCCAAGTTCGAGGTGAGGGTCTTTGTACTTCTTGTCTAAGTCATCGGTTGGTCTCCCCACTTCTTCTTCCATCCAGACCCCGCGCAATTAACACACGTCACGGGTGTCGGTGTGTTGACATGCGCAACTCGTGGCCCAGTCATCAGAGCTTGGTGCGGGATATAATGGTTCTGAGCGGTTCAATCGCTCTCCGTGAACCAAATACAAGACGCCGATTGCTCACGCGGTGTTCCCACTACGCACGAGCTAGACTTCGAATGCAATAGTGATAGAGTGTAGCTATCCTCTCTATATATGTCGATCTGATGGTACAGGTTTCGCAGCCGTACGTAAGAGCTGTACGCATGACTGCATTGTGAATTCTGTCCTTCAAAGCGAGGTTGATGTCGTACCAGCGCCACAGCTGGCGAATATTGGCAAATCACTTCGAACTTTTGCTATACGGTTCATGAGCTGATCTTCTACTCCACAGACGCTACTTTATTTGCCTGGATAATTGAATTCCTGAACGACTTCTAACTTATCACCACCAAAAGTCAGCGCAAGTGTGAATTCCTACAAATCTTTGGGGAATGGTGATTTTAAGGATACAAATCATAGCCCAAACCAACGATTGACGGCCACATTGCTGTTTGGGACATTGGGGAGCTGTCACAGATTAGGACAATGTTTTTCGGCATACTCCTTGTTAATAAGTCAGGAGGCAACACCACATCTTCTAAATAGTATCCAGCGAACGCAGCATTTATGACCTCGTCGGTGGCAAAGTTAAAAATGAAAGGTGACAGTGGGCAACCTTGTCTCACACCGCTGCCGGTATTAAAGGGCACCGACATTTTGCAGCAAACCCTCACCCTCCCCAAACCGTTCGCGTACATCGCTATGGCATATAGTGGTAGCGATGACTGTTACACTAATGCACTTACTCATGCGGGATATGCATTCCCTCCGACTACGTATTTTTTTGTCTTATGCTTCCCTGTCTTTATTGATCATGAAATGTGAGGGTGTATCATAGGCTGTTGGTGTGCGCCTCGTGCCTGTTCACAGTCCGTCGCGACTAAATATATAAACTGATGCCACCGTGTGTCCCTCCCTCAGTTTCTATTTTTCTTTGGTCTTGTTTTCACTTCCTAATCGGTCTATCTTGTGCCTGACTATCGGTAAGTCAATTGTGCTTCCTCTCGCTTTTTTCTTCTACCTGTTGCTTCTAAGCACCTCCATCTCCATTACAGATGAAATATGTGCCTGTGGATTTTGATATTGATGACTTTTTGTCACGCATCCAGGGCAATAAACCACCGTTCATTTGCCCGGCTGAAACCTGCCACAAGATTCACAAATCATACTCTCATATGCAGAAGCACATGCTGATACACCGACCTCCGGCACCCATCGACATACCAGCGAAGCCTGCTGATCTTGTGAGAGCTACTGAAGTGCGTGGGTTTCCGACACAGTTGATGCAGTGCTTCGAAGAGGATCTAGCACAGGCTCATTTAAACAAGACAACCACATCTATGCTTAACTCGGACCCTCGATGGTCAGTCGTATTTGGACCATCATCAGTGACTGAAGGGCAAACTTATCGTTGCAACATTTTTGTATCACTTACTTTTCGTGTTGAGGATCGATCCATTGTTAACTCACACACAGTTTGTTCCACCACCGCTTACCCTTTGAGACTGACGGACACTCCAACTCGATCTATTGGTCGCATACAAAACAAAATGCGGACTGGTGTTACTAGGGCTTCTGATGACCGAGACCAATCATTTGTTTCGGAAAATTTAGTTACTCGAGTCAACGAACCTACGGCTACCAATCAGAGCTGTCCTGAAGGAACTATTGAAACTAAGCCTAATCCGCCAGTGCCTGTATTTGAAGTTGATCCAGATTTTTCCTTCAAAAAGCCTTTGCCTGTAAAAGAAAGTCACGGATTTATTCGCTTTATCGAAAAGTCCTCAGATGAACTGGATGAGGTGGTTGAATATGACTTGGATGAAGAGGTAGGTCAGCCAATTTTGTTACTTGTTGCGAATATAGTCACGTCTTTCTCCATCACACAACTATCTCCTTATATACAAAATTCAACCTCCTGTCTTTTCTTTAATTTACGTTTTGTGTCCCGTTACCATTCCCTCATTGTGGTGTTTTTGGGATTCTCGTTCCCTGAAATACCCAGCGCACGGAGCAAGAGGTCACTGATCATCCGTATTTAGCTTTTGTTCAACCTTTCACATACAACCTCTGAACGAATTGACTGACCAAATCGAATTGTATTACACTATTCTGAGTAAGTTCATTAGAATGACCTTCCTCCATGCACTCATCAAGGCATTGATTTTGAATATATAGTGGAGTTCGCTCGATAACCTCGCGCATGTGACGGTTTTGATGCGGCGACCAAGTTGCTTACCTTACTGCCACAGCTTCCCAGGCCAAAGCTAATGCTTCACTTGTTGACTATTTTTGGGACTATAAACACATTGCCAGATGTGGATATCTAACGGAGGGTGGATGAATGACCCTTTTGGCCACTGGCTTCTGTGTGGACTGCTATCGAACATTAAGTGGGTGTATGAGTGTAGTATAACTGAGCAGTCAGAGACAGACCAGAGAGTGCGGAATCAGAACCTGGGAAATCAGGCATTCTTCGTCTGTGAATAGAGACCAGAGCTAAATGTGTAACAGATAGGAGAAGTGTAGTGGCAATGACACAAATGCAATGATGGATAATATCATATTCGACCCCACTGATGTTTGCAAGGAATCATGTAGTAAACAAAGGCTGTCATGTGGTGGATGCGGTGTATGGAAGCAGCGTTATTAAAGATTTGTAACTTATGGGTAGCAACGTTTTACGTGAGAAAAGAGTTAGTGATTAGGCTTCTCTGTTTTTAAGATAATATGGACGCACGCGTTGTTGAAGTGTTTCAAGTTCGCTCTTCGGGGACAACGGCTCCGTAAAATTTACTTGGGAATCATCCGGATGCATGTCGGTTTCGTCACGTATGCAGACCTGGTCCTCCTCTCCGGGTATGATCGTTTCTTCTGGACGGACGTTAATTTTATTCTTGTGCTCGAGTGGTTGATCGCCCATGGATGCCAGTTGTCGGCTGGATACGGTCTCCTCTCTCCCGTTCGAAAATCGAACATGTGTTTATTAAGGGTTATACTCTATAAATTCCACCTCTGATACAAGAGGATCGAACTTGGAGGACCGGACGTTCTTCTTCAACAGGACCGGACCCGGTGAAGACAGTCAGGTAGAAATAGAAAAGCCAGATGAAAACCTCCAATTGTATTTGAGAAACCTCATGTGGAGCCACGTTTGTTGCAGTGCATACAAGCGATCGAATCAAATGCACTGCATCGAGTAAGACGATCTCTCCTTGATCAACCGAGAGATTACGGGAGCGTAGGGCGATAGGAACGGCTCTCCACCATCTTCCACTCAGGCGTTCGACTTGCCCATTAGCTTATGGGTGATATGCGGTTGTTCGACTTGTCATTACTATGAAAAAACTACAGGCGATATAAAAGTAGAACCTCTGTCTGAATGAATGTAGGATAGAATACCAAACATTCTCTCCCTCTGTACTGTGGTGAAACGTATTGAGCTGGAGAAGGCGATGGCTGCACGCCTGTGTGATATGGACTGTTTAGCCAGAATGGGCGACTTGTGGTGCCACATTCGCGACTAGGTAACAGCTGCTGCCGAGGAGACTATCGGGCGCGCAAACTGTAAGCGGCCTGACTAGTTTAATGTGAATAATGCAACGATTGGCGCATTGGTGTCGGAGAAGAATGCAGCATTTGCTGCACATGTGGCAGACCCCAGTGACTTGGGGAAGAAGTGAAAGTTTGGGCCAGTTCGACGACGACTGACCCGAGAGCTCCGTCGCATTAAAAATGCATGGTGGACGGAGAAGGCGAAGCAGATGGAATGCTACGCCGAACGCCGCCAACACAAGGAATTCTTTGACTCCTTGAAGGCGGTGTATGGACCGAGGTTGGAGCCGCTGAGGACGCTGATCGATGGTAGTTCAGGCGCTACCTGCACACAGACTGCAGACATAATGCAGATCTGGCGAAAACACTTGACTGTCTCTTGAACAACCGTTCAGAGATCGACTGGCCTACATTGAACGGCCTGAAGCAGCACGATGTGAAGGCGAGTCTGGCGGACACGCCGACACTGGATGAGACGCAGAGAGCACTTGCTCAGCTGCGAAACGGCAAGTGTGCCGGTGCCGACGGGATCCCGCCTGAAGTATTGAAACACGGCGGACCCGCGTTGTTGACTGCGCTGCACCACTTGGTGCAACGCGTGTGGATTGAGGAGGAGGTGCCTCCTGAGCTGAAGGATGCCCTTGTGCTACCACTGTACAAGGGCAAAGGAGCAAGCAATGTTGCACGAATTATCGTGGCATCAACTTGCTGAGTTGTGTGGGCAAGGTGATTGCCCGAATCCTGCTCAACCGCCTCGTCAGTCAGGTTGTGGAACCTAACGTGGCGGAAGAGCAGTGTGGATTCCGTTCGGGTCGCAGCACTATAGATATGGTGTTTGCGGCTCGTCAGTTGCAGGAGAAGTGCAGAGAACGACACCAGCCGTTGTACTCGCTTTTTGTTGATTTCACCAAGGCATTTGATACGGTGAACCGCGAGGCATTGTGGCTGGTGTTGGGTAAGTTTGGTTGTCCGCGTAAGTTTGTAAGTTTAATTGAATGTCTGCACAGTGGTATGCGGGCGAGGGTGCAGCTGAGTGGAGAGACCTCGGATGACTTTGCAGTTGTCTCTGGTGTGAAGCAAGGCTGTGTCTTAGCTCCTGCCCTGTTTAATATTTATCTTCATGCAATGATGTCTTGTGCTTTTGATGCGGCTTGTGCTTACGGTGTTCGTGTGGAGCACCGTATTGATGGTGGGTTGCTGAACATCCGTCGTTTCGGTGCGAGAACCCTAGTCTGTGAGACAACTATCCGTATGTTGCTGTTTGCTGACGACTGTGCGTTGTTTGCACACAGCGCGGATGAGTTGCAGCACATGACTAGTGCTCTGGCTTCGACAGCGGCCAAATTCGGGCTCACCATCAACACAAGCAAAACTGTCTGTCTCTTTCAGCCTTCACCGGAGGTGCAATCTACAATGGTGCCGCGAATCAGCATTGGTGCTGAAGTATTGGAAACCACCTCCCGCTTCTGCTACCTTGGGAGTGTGATGTCGACTGACCAGCAGCTACACAGTGAGCTGCGTATCCGCGTCTCGAAGGCAGCGGCGGCATTCGGGAAGCTAGAGTACCGAGTGTGGAACAACCATCAGCTTACCGTTGGCACGAAGCTGATGGTGTACAAATCCATGGTGCTGTCCGTTCTTCTATACGGCAGCGAAACGTGGACGATGTACCGGCGGGATGTGCGATATCTCGAGCGGTTCCATCAACAGTGTTTGCGACGGATTCTGCGCATCGGTTGGTGCGACAGAGTTGCAGACACGGAAGTGTTGCGCCGAAGTGGAATGTATGCAGTGGACTGCATACTTTTGCTGAGACACCTGAGGTGGCTCGGTCATGTGTGGCGTATGGATTCGACGCGGATACCGAAGCAGCTATTATATGGTCAGCTGAGTGTTGGGAAGCGGCATGTGGGAAACCGAAGCTTCGTTACCAGGACATGATCAAAGTGAGCCTCTCACGTTCTAATCTTGATTGCAGGTCATGGGAATCGAAGGCGGTTGATCGGCGTGCATGGCGCGATCTGATCACGAAGGCAGTTGCCGAGGTGCAGGAGAAAGACCTCATGCATGCGTAGAAGAAGCGGCAAGTGCGGAAGCGGCAGGCACCGGTGGGTTGTAGTCCATCGACATGGAGTGCATGGTGCTGTAGCACATGCGGTCGTGAGTGCCTGAGTCAGGCAGGCCTAGTGAGCCATGAGCGAGGCCACTCGGGGCCAACACCGAAACGACGACGGGTCCTGCAGAGAACGTAAGCAGAACCGGTGCAGCGTTTGTAGGTACGCTGCATTCGATTTACTAACCGCTTGATTACATGCTGGGTCTCTTTATTTCAGGCAGTAGGTTTGCTTTATCGTCTCATTAATGCCTACGTGAACTATCTTCTATAAACTTGTACACGTCGCTCAAGTTAATTGTAATTAATTCGGATCACATTTTCGCGTTTGTGACATTTTCTTAAAATATATTTTCTGACATCTTGAACTTATCGCGGATAGGTTGGCAACCAATTTATTTCATATGCTCAGTAATTGCAGAGGTATGTCGACTCAGTCGTATGCATTATTCGATTTATTTTATTTGATAATGCTGTTTCAAGTGGTTGCCTGTTGTTTGAAATCCCCGGTGTGGCTGCGCTTGATATGCATGTTGACAAGGTGCCTACCTGTCTATTACCCACTAAATCGTCCATACTGACTCCAGGAGACAATTGGTCTTTGCTGGAGGGGACGGGGTGCACGGTTCATCATCATCATCAACAACAGTACATCAGCCGTTTGAACTGATGCTTCGCTGCCATACAACCATGAGGACCCATGAAATAAAGAATAAGAAGAGGGAGAGAAGGGGACTTATCTGAAAACCGTAATGGCCTAAACAAACATTCAGGGTCAAGGCGCCTACACCTTGTGTAGACAACATATCGTCACAAACAGCTGGCTATCGTGCAAAGATAAGGCGGCATCGGCAAGACAGCTACCTTGCGGCTTTCACTGCCACGCGTCATAATCAGCCATTACCCCGTAGATAACTCAGCACCGAACACACTTTAAACAGGCAATCCAATTAGGAGGCGGCAGCAGACGCGCCACTGTTGTCGGTTGCGAGCCATGTCCTGTAAAGTCTCGAGCCAAGCACAAGGCGAGTCACGTCGACTCCAGCCCGGAAGGCGAGACGGACCAACGGCACCCAATTTCGTCGTCAGGTACTTCATTTCCCACTGCCAAGTCCACCTCGAGCCTTGCGCCACCCTACACCTGGCAGACTAAACAAGGCCCTCCTAGGTAAACGGTGACCAGGCATACGTAGCACGTGCCCGAGCCAACGCAACTTATTCAGTGCTATCTGTTGTTCTAGGGAGCTAGCATGATTAGCACCACCTAGTACTCGCCTACGCACATCATCGTTGCGGACACGCTGGTGCCATCCGACACCAGCAATGCTTCGCAAACAACGATGATCAAAGACTTGAAGGCGCCTCAGATCTTCAGACCGAAGGGGCCAAGTTTCACTACCAGAGTGAGGAATCAAGACCTGGGAAATCAGGTTTTATTCGTCTGTGAATAGGGACGCGAGCTGAAAGTCTAACGGATAGGAGAAGTGTAATGCCAATGACACATATGCAAAGAAGAATGAGATCACAATGAGCCACCTGGTTGTAAACGTTCTTCGTGTTCAGTGGCCTATTAGACATTCCAGGAAACATATTTTGTTAGACTGCTATACTCATGTTGTTCGGGTGCTCTGAATAGTTTTTTCTACTCGAAAGTCGTGTTACCGGCTCCCAACGGTTCACATTAGACCCGCTGCTTTGCGAGTCATTTCTTTACGACCCAAAGCTCCTGGTGGGGTCTCTATGTCAACCTTATTCTTTGGCCTGTACAACTCAATGGTACCACAACACATATGGACGTGATCCAAATCTGGTCTTTGTATCCGCTTTCCTCTGCTGAGGTGCCTTCAACCGACTCCGCAAAACTATGCTCTACCGCACCGCCTGCCACATGTTTTGTTCCACGCTTCTTGAACTCCCCTATTCTTGGTAATTTCTCTTTGACGCCGCCTTGAGTGACAGTTCTAGCCCCATCGATGAGTAGTTCAACATCTTTCGTACGCCACGCGACAATGAAGACAGTACATTTTTAGCTCATTGTTCCAAATTCAAGTTGGCTGCTTTAAATGTCCGGTCGCCCAGACAGTAGGATCGCAGGCAGCTCCTGATCGCACTCTAAAAAAACCTCACCGTCGATATCTGTTGCCTTGCCCTGACCCACTTACAGGTTAATTGCACTCGACCGCAGTGCCTTCGCAGTTTATCTCATATCTGGTTGGAACACCACGTGAGCGTGTTCGTCCTATTTAGGCCTGGTAAGATACAGTGAATCACTCCGCACCGTTATTTCACGAACCGGGTTCCGAAGACTTGGTCGTGTTACGCAGGCCAGTATACTTATTCCCGCAATCGTGGAATCGCTCGCATTTCGAATTCGTCTCTTTCGGAACATGTATTCTGACCCACACCTTTTGACTTTCTCTTTTGGGTATTAATCAGCATTTTATTCTTTCAGTTTCTTGCTGTCCACAACATTGGTGCCAGCTTTGGAACCGACTTGAATACTAAGTTTTCATCTATTATTTGATCCTCTTGATTATGGATCTTTGAAGTACGAAAGCTCATTCGAATATGACACCTTATTCGATATCAGGAGCAGCCAGTATTATATCTTCCATTTTCATCATTGTGATATGCGCTTGAAGCCGATTAAGAACATGATTTCCAGTTTGTTTCACTGTTCCTCCACTTCTTTCTTACCTGACGGCTGTGTGGTCGGTAATTGTCCATTCTGCTGATCCTCACCATGGATTGTGTCCTCTCAGCTCACAATCAAACGTGGGGTTTTCCTTCTCGGGTTCCTCCTTTTAATAACAGTGGTATTTCTGTTGTAATTCCCTCTCTGGAATTTACAATCATTTTCGACCTTACCCGTCGTACACACTTTGATTTTTTCTGCCCTTTACATGACGATGTAAGCGTTCTCCATTAGTCTTGTCACGTTATTCCACATTTCGTTTCCTCTACTTTCGCTTCTCTACATAGGATCTTTTCTGGTTAGATCGTATCAACAAAAGAAGAAAGCAGGAGTCCTTACCTCCTGTTCGCGAAGAAACTTTGGAATGGGTCATAGACCGCTTTGAAAAAGAGGCGAAATTTCGGCTCATCTCTTCCTCCAACCATTCCACTCAGGATCCATACTCTGCACCTAGTACAGGTCATTCCGGAATTGACGAAGACGCTGTTTGCGCTGTTTGCCAGGATGGAACTTGTGAGAACACCAATGTGATTCTTTTTTGTGACGTCTGTAATCTAGCGGTACATCAGGTACGTCATCCGCTCGGCTTCATACCCCACTATACCTCTTATTATCTCTTTGATCCTGAATTTCTTCCTCTGCCTTTTCCGACCCCTGTCATGCCTCCATTTCTGCGCTTGTTCTTACGGCTGATGTAGCAGCGTATCGTGTCGTTGAAAGCTACTTATCTTAACCTCGAACCCGTCACTGGACATCCGTGTACAATTTGTACTCATTGTATCGCAATGAGACTGGACTTTACCGTGGTGCGATGGTTTGCGTACCTCAGCGATCCATTGGACTATATTGGATGGTGCTTTCTTGCACTTTCATACCAGATTGGTCAATGGTTAGAGGCCAGACAAACTCAGTCTCCTCGCCCACTAGATTGGGGTTGAGATGAAGGTGGCTCCTTATTCTTTAAAACAGGATCCTTATAGTCCACTGCCAAGCCCGTTGATTTGCGGTCAGGTTTTTGAAACGAAGGCTTTGGTTGAGAACCCTAGTCGTTCTCCTGTCTATGCCTTGGCCGTCTGACAGTATCCTGCCCACGCAATACTATGAATCTTTCCTCTAACAATTTTCTGATGCTCTGGCCACCGCAGAGGATGATCAGCGGTGCCCTGTCTGCTGCATCGAGCAGGGTGGATTGGGGTTTGGATGCCACTGCTCAAGCCTTCCCGCCTTCGTATTCCTCCCCTTACGCTTTTTCTCCCTTATGGTCCCGTACCAACTGCACTTTTATCTTTCTAGTTTTCAACCCCCAACTCATTGCCCTACCCCACATGCTTTGGTAGGCGTTTGTCTCCTGGTTTCAACTCATATGCAGACGCGGAGCTTCACTTTGTCCTATCGACAAGTCCATGTCTAAGAAAGCGGTCAAGCCCAGTTCATCGGCTACTATTTGGAACCCCCGATCCTCCCTAAGATTGGCATGCCTAAACGTACGCACATTGCTTCAGATCCGTCAACAGGCAGCACTTGTCCGAACATTAGAGACCCTCTCGATCGATATCTGTTGCCTATCAGAGACTCGCCTACAACCCCTGAGTCCTCTTACTCTGCAATCCCCTTCAGGGGTTTTTCATTGCGCCTATCCCGAGACGATGCAGTTTCGAGTACCAGCCAAGGCGGTGTTGGTATTGCCCTGAATCCCCGGGCTGAAGCTGCTCTGGTTGATTGGATCCCAATCAGTAGCTGGGTGTGTGCGGTCCAACTGGCTGGCTCCTTCAAAGATTCGAAGTCGCGCGGGGCTAATAGGTATCTTTCAGCTGATTCATCATTGTCACTCCCAGTCAGCTGGCTTAGGCTAGTGTGGAAAAGAACCAGACACCGGCTTTCCTAACTTCTGGGTCTCCTCAGTGGCGCGCCTCCCAGCGGACCCCTGTCTGGTACTGCCCCCATGACTTCAGGATGCCAGCAGCTAGTGCCACTTCGACATGGGTGACAGGCACGGATCTGCGTGATTGATACTTGACCATGATATAGCCCGGATCATCTTCCACTGCCCTGTCAGTTACGGAATGTGCAGAGGACAATGGCTAGCCTCACTAGCTTGGACTTTCCGCATAGCGTCTATGTACTATATAGGACTTAGAAGCTATAAGGACAGTTTATAGTACTGATGAGTAACAGTGAGGATTTTGGTATAATTCAGCTAATTCATCATTGTCACTCCCAATCAGCAAGCTTAAGCTAGTCTGGAAAAGCACCAGACGCCGGCGTTTCGACCTTCTGGGTCGGGACCAGATGATCTTCATTCATCCCTCTTCAAATTCGCGCTTTGCTCTTGTTGCTGATTTACACGAATTAGTAGTGAAATTATGGAAGCAGGGAACTGTCCCAACCAACTGGAGCCGCTCCGTTTTTGTCCCGATCTTCAAAGGAGGCTGGCGTTTGTAATGCGGCAACCATAGAGGAATCATTTTGATCCCCATCGCCTCCAAATTACTTGCGTTTGTCATCCTTTACAGACTGAATGGTATTCGTAAAAGCCAGATTCGTGAGGAGCAAGCCGGGTTTCATCGTGGTCATGGCTGCATTGACCACATCTTCACTTTGCGTCAGTTGTTGGAGCACAGTCACGTTTTTTCGCGACTCACCGTTGTCGTGTTACTTCATGTCAAAACTGCTTTCGATTCAATGGATCAACATGCCCTTTGGGACTGTCTGCCAAAGAAGGATGTGCCCGAGAAATATGTAAATATTATCCGATCATTATACGCGCGTAGCTCGGGCAGAGTGAGGGCTTACGGCAGGCTGCCGCCACCCTTCAATATCTCCATCGGTGTGAGACAAGGATGCCCGCTGTCACCTCTCCTCTTCAACTTCGCTGTTGACGAAGTCATGGAAATCGCGTTTACCGGACAAGACCTAGGTGTCGAAATGTTCCCAGCAGAAGGACTTCTTGACTTGGAGTATGCTGACGGTATTGCCCTCAACTTTGACAGCTCCCAAACGTGCCATGCAGCACTGGACAGATTCGCACTGGCTGCCACCCGTTTCGGGCTATGCTTCGCACCCTGCAAGTGCAAGACTTTCCTCCAAGATTGGCAGGGACCGCCTACTGCACTGACCCTTGGTTGGGATCAGCTAGAAGTCGTTCAAAAGTTCAACCACCAAGGTAGTTGTATCAGCGCCGTTGGTATTGAAGACGAGGTCACAAACCGTATAAAGTTCGAGGTGCTTTTGCTAAGTTTCGCCACCTATGGCGGCGGCGCGACATCACTCTCTCCCTGATAGGGTAGAGTGTACAATGCAGCGGTACGTTCGACCCTACTGTACGGTTCTGAAACCTGGCCCATTAGCTCAGCCGACATAAAAGGCTAGTTACCTTCGATCGCTGATGCCTTCGCGGTTTGGTTCATATGAGCGTGTTCCACGCCTTGTTTATGGCGCAGGAAGAAGAAGCGAATCGCTCAGCACAGTTATTTCACGCACCAGGCTCCGACGGCTGGGGCACATTCTGCGTATGCCAGCCCACCGACTCCGCGACGTGCGCTGTTTGCGCGCCGGGGTGCGGATGGAAGCAGAGGAGGGGTGGCCAAGCGATGTCTTGGCCGAGAGGAATGAAGGCTCTCACTTCGGAGCTGGCCTCGGTTGGAGCCTCTCGGCTCCTTGATTGGGGTGCGAAGGACGAACACTCAATTGCTCATTTGTTCTCTGAGCTTGGCAGTTTCGTTGTAAACGTTTCACCATCATACGATGTGGCAGCCTCACTGCAGTGAGATGCGGCGTGCAATCTCACTGAACAAAACCGCCAAGCTCGGAGAACAAATGAACAATTGAATCATCAACCCGAGCTACAAGCATTCCGAGACGATGAATATGTTTGTTTGGATACACTTGTGGACATGGCTAGCATTCGACTTCAGTGGCGTTCGTGCTGTGAGTTTCTTTGTCTCACCTCATCTCTCTTAGCCTCCCCCTCTAACCACGATCTCACTTATTAGGCATAGTATCTTTTTTGCGGCACAATATCCGGCTGTTAGCTCTCCGATACAATGTCAACCCGTTAGTTGTGACTCAGCCGGCGTGCCTCCGTTGCATTTTTTCTTGTCTTTTGTATTGCGGCACAATAGCTGAGGTGCTTTGCACCTGCAGCTAACGTGTATACTGATGGTTGTCATATCGCTTATCCAAGCACAATAGGAATCATTATATACGCATATCTTTTGTAACATTTTACTTCATACTTGTCACCATTTTCAGATTATCGCTCAATACTAACTATGGTCACTGAAGACAACATCGCAATCGCGTCATTTATTAGCTGTGTGAGCGTTGCTAGCAGTCTGATTATCAAATCTCTTTTGGCAAATCAAATAACTAAAATAAACGTTAATTCCTTATGAGTAGAAGGATTTTTGGTAAGTATTTTTCTTCGTCGCAATCAGTCGAAATTATGATGAGTCAACTGCCTATCCGGAAAAGCATCAGACGGCCATTTCGCCCTATTGGGGCTCATCAGTGGTGCGCATCCTTCGGTCCTCTACAGAGGGTCAAACCCATGACTGCTAGTGGCTTGTGCCAACTAACCCGTAGCTTATGCAACTGCGCCATGAAGGACGATAGCCGACCATCACGAATTGTTAGCTAACTGCGATATAGCCCAACACATCCTCCACTGCCGTGCCGGGCGAAACAGCCGTCTGGTGCTTTTCCTGATAGGTAGTTGACTTATCTTAATTGTCGGCTGATTGCGACGAACAAAAATACATAAACGTTAATTCATTTTTTAGCACTTCACGACTTCTTACTAGGCTATAGCATGGCTTTGTTGGTAGCTACCTAGCTTTTCTTCTCTATCAGTATTGGTCGCAGACGCCGGATTGTATTTCGTGTTCTCAATACTTCGAACTGGCACCTTTAGCATGAGTTCACATGCCACACCCAATGGATGGGTTCCATTAACGACACATTGTGGACTGAACGTCCAATAAAAACGAGTAAGCTATAAAATGTGCACGAACTAGAGCGGTATTCGAGCATGGAACTGTCGTTGGTTACACGACATACGGTCTTCTGCGCAGCCCTGCTGACAACGTTTGCCTACACTCCAATCAGTTCCCTGGTTTTTTGTTTTATTAGATCAAAGTTAAGAACGCCGTTCATTTTATTGCACGATAATGGTGTTCACAAACGTAACCAACAGTACTAACGTTCGGGTTTTGATGTTACGTGTATTTTTAATGGTTCACAGCATCATTCAGAACGCAAAATTGTGTAGGTGGAAAAATGGAACACGACGTATAAGCATCACTCGATTAAACGGTCCTGCACTAGCTAGCAACGATTGCACATGACTGGAGAACATCATTAGAAATTATTTCCTTTTGACAGGAAACCGTTTATGATTTCACGGCCGGATTCAACAAACTCCGTCCCGTATGCAGTATCTCGGTTTTGATTCTACAAAACCAATTGTCCTCTTCTTGCTGTGCTTTTCAAGTTGCTGAATCAAATTACTTGCTTTCATCTTCAAAAATCGACGGGGAACAGTGTTACTGAACTTGGCACTACTCTAACCAACGAAAATAGCAAAGATATTTTGAGAAACTGGTAAATTAACAGTAGCTAGCTTAAAGATGATGTTGCAACAAAAATCACAACGACCGATTTGATTGCCCCGTCGATGTTTTGTCTGCTTCGCTGCTAAATGAGCTGTTTGTCCCTGAAATCCCTGCTTTGCAAGAGGACGTTGCAGCAATCGGTAGAAATAAAACGTACCCCTTTACGTCACCTCCTTTTGTACTCTTGTGAGCACACTTTGGCAATGTGTGCGTGGATGTTTCTCTTGCGTCACCGTATGTAGCAGCTTACTGTTCTCTCTCACTTGCGTTTTTTAGGAATGCTACGGTGTGCCTTATGTCCCCGAAGGCCCTTGGCTCTGTCGTAAGTGTTTACATTCCCCCAGCGAGCCAGTTTCTTGCGTTCTTTGTCCTAACCGTGGTGGAGCCTTCAAGAAGACTGCCGACGATCGTTGGGCTCATGTTATTTGCGGTCTCTGGGTTCCTGAAGTAATGTTCGCCAATTTGACATTTTTGGAACCCTTGGAAGGGATTGATGACATTGCTCCCGCCAGGTAAGCTGTTAGTTCTGTCCTGCTGTTGAAATTTCTATCTGGGTACCTTTTGTGAAAATCCACTACTATATGTCGGTTCATCTTCCATAATTTTTAGAACGTCTTGGCGCCCTCTTTGTTAGTGCTTTTCGGGTAGCCGCAGCTGGCCATCCGACCCGTCGTATTGTGGCTGCCAGTCGACATATGGTCAAAAGAAAATTGGGCTCCACGAGCAACGCTTGATACAGCCGGTTGAGTTTTGTATTACCCATCGTATGTTTGGATTGCAATACTCAATCGTCGTTTGAACTGGGATTTACTTTGAAGTAATTCTCTGAGCCAGCAAGCTCCTACACGGGTGGAAAAGCACCAGACAGCTGTTTCGACCTTTTTGGTTTCATTAGTGGTGCGCGTTCTTCGAACCTCTGCCGGGTCCCCCCTTCCCCCGTGACCTCCAGGTGCCAACAGCTTGTGCCATTAAGCACTGGGTGACGGCCGCGGACATGTATGATTGACAGTTGACTACGATATAGCGCGGCTCATCATCAAAGATCCGTCCGTATAAATCCTTAGTGCTGTGTCGTACACAGTCGCTTTGCGGAGAGTCGTAGTTCCTGGGCCAACCACTGTCCTCTGCACAGTTCGTAACCGACATGGCAGTGGCGGATGAGCCAGGTAAATCACCTAAACGTCAATTACACATGGCCTGTGTCAGGGTCATATGCACGGTTTGTTTGAAGTACCTATCAAAATTCCAATCAAACATTTTTGCATACGCATATGGGAAACGCGATTCCGGCTATGGTGCGTGCCTAATTTTCAGGTCACCTAACACCCGAACTCAGGTTCCGTGAGAAATTTTCACGCATCAACTGTCACTGACAAACGAGGTACATGAGGCGAAAAGGAGCACTGTGAATCGTTTCTCTACTCAACGCAAACTATTTACATCACGTATTCATTTGTAACACCGTCTAGTTCACTAGAAGCACGGAAGCAATTTTCAGAGTAACCGTAACGTCTTGAAGCGTTACGTGATCATGATTGCCCGGGAGACTTGACGGGTGATGGAAGAAGGTAGTGCTGTTGGAAACAGCATCTGGAAATAACCTTTATGGACCTACAATCAATGTGTAGTCTTTTTGAGTAACCCGTTAAAAATTGCAGGGGAACCGTAGAACGAATCTGGCAGAATGCATGCAGTCACGAATCTAAGAATCAAATCACGCGATACAGAATGTATTTTAAGTCGAAGGGCGTAAAATCAGCTCATTTCAGTTCAGTTGGCCAACTATGATCCGAGCACAGAAATGCGACGGATCAACTTGCCACGACTCACATCGCAAGAATAACAATTAATAACAACGGCAGGGTAGTGTGGTTAAACGCAAATAGAATGCAAGAAAATGGAAGAAAGAAGGAGATGCGTTAGACTAATCAAAATGGAACGAAAATTAACAACCAGATGAAAGTGGCTGAATGCAGAAAAGCCACTGGTTGCGTTACTGCGCCATGTCTGACAGGGTGTCTAACCTTGGTGTGGGCCGTCCCGAGGCCCCCACAAACGAAGACGACGCACCAGTCTGACCAAGTCTCTCAGTCAATTTTTCCAAGCTTTTATGCCGCGTCATGGACTGGCCACCTCCGGGTTTCGCCCAGCTTGGTACAACCACGGTGTATAATGCCCGCCGAGGAACCCGATCAACGGATAAAGGGATGATATGGCTTAGCCAACGCAAGCTACTAAGGTTTGTCAAACAGTCGAGAGGGGAATCAGAAGGCTTCTTGCCGAAAACCAACTGGCGGACCTCAGCATTGTTCATTCGATATTTCCACCAAAGGCGAGCAATGCTCCGCAAGTACCGGTTGTCAAACACGTCCAAGCGTTTAATGTCTTCATTGGGAACTGGCCGGGTCTCTGATCCATACAGTAACACCGGTGTTATCGCAGCATTATACACCTACGTTTCACTGACAAGCTGATATCCCGCCGTCTTCACAGATGGTTGAGTCTCTGAAAAGCCACACAGGTCTTACTGATGCGCGAGGTAGCTTCCTCATCGATGTGACCACCAGAGGTGACACATCTACTACAGAAAGTGAATCGATCCAACACTTCCAGTGGCTGTTCGGAAACAACTAAAACCGGGGGTGCGTCGGCGCAGTCCTGCAACAGCACTTTACATTTGGAAGGTGCAAAGTACATGCCGAACCGTGCAGCGATACGCACAAGCCTGTGCAGTAGTTGTTGCATAGCGAAAGCATCAGACCCAACGAGAACTATGTCATTCGTATACTTCAGATTTGTCAGTTGGTCGTCTGGCAGAGTAGTCTGAAAGAACCGAGTCATTCATGATCATTTCGATCACAAAGTTGAAGAGGTAAGATACAGGACAACTCTGAACAACCCCACTTGTCGTGCTGAACTTGGGAGATTTTCCCCCGTGGACGCTTATGCGAACTCGAGAAACACGGTAGAGGGACTTTAGAGTAGAAAGGAATATAGCTGGCACTCTTTGTATGGATAGGGAATGCCACAAGCTGGCGCGGTCAACAGAGTCGAAGGCAGCTTTTAAGTCGAGGAAATCCACCAGAGTCGGTCGTCTGTATGTGTATCTATGTTTGACGAATAGTAAATATGCGGTCGATGCGACCAGGAGCAGGGCGAAAGCCAGCATTGCATTCAGTGATTCGGTCTTTACAGAGACCAGTAACTCGTGGCAGAATGATGCCCGTGAGAAGTTTTGAGGTACTACAAATAAGTCTAATGCCTCGATGATTTTCGCACAAAGTACGCTGACCCTTCTTGAAGATGAGCATGACAGTTGATAGTCGCCAGTCTGAAAGCATTTCTTCAGTATCCCAAATCGTGCTAAAAATGGAAGCAAGTCCAGTCAGCAAAGAGTCACCATCATCGTTCTGCAAAGATGGGGGAAGGTCGTCGAGTCCAGGAGCCTTGTTTCGTTTCAACACGGCAGGCACACGTCGAATCTCTTCCAAATTGAGAGGTGTGACATCTACTTCCCACGTTGGCTCAGGTGATTCGGCAAGCGGCAGTGTCGCAGCAGGCCTGCCCTCGTCAAAATGTTCCGCCCAAAGGGCTAGTCGACGACGCTGAGAATGGATCAACAGTCCATCTTTCTCAACTATTGGTCTCGCTAACTGATGGCCTTCTTAGATGGAATAGCACTTGGCTGTTATCAAAAGCGATGACTTTCACCATCTTATGGACCTTTGCAACCCACCTATGTTCCCAGTTAACTAGAAAACTCTCTGTCAGAAGTCGTTTCAGGGAGTTACAGAAACGTTGAAAATCAGTGCCCATCGAAACCCGTTTACGCGCTTCGATCAGACTGATCGATGCTTCGGAGATTTATTCACAATTACGACGATTCAAATCGAGTGCACAGCAAGCGTCAAACGCACTCTTTATGGCATACTTGAGACGATCCCATTCAGCGTTCGGCCCACCAGCCTCATTCATCATTGACAATTGGTGGGTCACTTAGATATGATATAGTTGAACCGCAGACTGCGAGTTCAAGTTACAGGTAAGAAGATTAGAAGATAAAGGCTTCTTTGAAGTGGGAAGAGTGAGCGCGCTAGGGCACGGTCGGAATCCAGGCATGTGCTCCAGATTGACCGACAGTCATGGACTGATGTGCGCCACCTGTAGCTGATGACAAAATGTGGTAAATTTGGGTCCAAGTCATTAAGGAATTCGGTGGGCACCAGGTGACGCGGTGTGAGCGTTAGTGTTGGAAAGCAGTGCTGCTAGTATAAAGATTGTGGTCGGTGCACAGCTGCAGGAATCGATCATCATTATCCGTTCGACGTGCATCAACTCCAAAGCACCCTCACAGGTGTTGCTCAGAAACTGAAAGATGACTTAATTGGGCATTCAAGTCACCAGCAACAATTACGATCTAAGTATTCTTCGCCATGCGAAGAGATGAAAGATGGCAGTAGAAATCATATTTTATACCCTCCGAACTGCAGTCAGTAGGAGCATAAATGGAGGCGATGAAAAGGCACTTTGCCTTCATACAATGCTTATTAATCCCAAAGGGGGTTCGAAGTCGAACCGCACACATGCGGCTGTTCACCGGTATCCAGTCGGGTAGATTATCTTCAGCATGTCTGTTGAGGGCGATACCAACACCGTAAATACTTTGAGCCATTGACTCGGTATCACCAGAGACGCGAAGAGTGTAGTCATTGTCGTCAGATTCAGAACCAGGGAGTAAAAGTCGTTACAACGTTGTTAGCTTGTAAAAGTACTTCGGAGAGACAGCACACATCAATACCAAAAGAGTGAGTCAGTGCTGCCTGCTGAATGATTTGACCAAAAGCGCGGACGTTAAAAAAAACAATGTGAATTGAAACTCGTGGTTTGATGGGCGAGTTACGAGGATCGATGGCACCAGCAGCGCCATCAGCGACAGATTCTTGTTCAATAGATAAAGAAGAAGTGAGTTGAGATGGGAGAGAAAAATAAGAAGAATAAGGAGTATTGTCGACGTGGTCAAGAGGGTAGGTGGCACTCTCTGGCTTTCATCCTGAGAGAGGGGTTTTGTTCAAGATGCCCAACCTTTTACTCACCAGTCTGACCCACAAGGTAGTGGGGGATTTGGAGGTTCGCTTGAGGGACCCCACTCAGAGTCTTTGTCTCAGTAGACCGACTCACAAGGCGGTGGGGAGAAAGTCCAGCTCAAAAGTGTGATTGCAGAGACCCATTGGGAACCGCTCGAGGCCTGTCAGACACAGGCTTTGAAGATTTGCAACAACTTAGATGTGTTTTACGACCGTATTGCGTTACGCAACTGCGACCACGGCCAACCTCAGATGGGAGTAGGTGAGTTTGCAACAATTTGGCCAGCGGCTGTCTGGCTTGAGGCGGGTGGTAACAAATCATTGAGCCTCGGAAGGTGCCCTCCCATCGTCGTACTCTACGCCAATCGAGCTGTGAGTTTACAACCCGTAGACCTGTTGTCTCCTTTGGCTAAACTTTAAAGGAAGTGGGACATCAACCTCTCCCTAACTTCCGAAGACGAATGGATAGTGAGACTGGGTTAGTGTGCTCCCTCCAACCACTGACCTGTCTGGTATAAGTGGCTCTGAAGGCACTTAAAAAGTGACACCGCTTTGGCGTGTGCTTTGCACCTTCCAAGTGCAAATTACTCTTTCAGGACTGGACCGATACAACCCCGGTTTTGGCTATTCCCGAATAGCCACTGGAAGTGGTAGATAGGTTCACCTACCGTGGTAGCTGTGTCACCTCTGATGGTTACATCACTGAGAAAGTTACCTCGCGTATCAGCAAGTTCCGTGCGGTTTTCCAGAGACTCAACTATCTGTGGAGACGGCGGGATATCAGCTTGTCAATGAAAGGTAGGGTGTATAATGCTGCGATAACACCGGTGTTACTGTATGGATCAGAGACCCGGTCAGTTCCCAATGAAGACATTAAACGCTTGGACGTGTTTGACCACCAGTGCCTGCGAAGTATTGATCATGTCTGGTGAGACCAGGTGAGCAATACTAAGGCCCATAAGTTGCTTTTTGGCAAGAAGCCTTCTGGTTATTCACTCGAGTGTTTGCTGAATAGTAACCGCTTACCTTGGCTAGGTCATGTCCTCCGTAAGTCGGTTGGCTGGCTTACTCGGCGTGCATTATATGCCGTCGCTGCGCTGTTGGGTGAAACCGCGAGGTGGCCAGTCCATGACGTGGCATAGAAGCCTGAGGAAATTGTCTGAGAAACTTGGTCAGACTGATGCGTGCCGTCTTCGTTTGTGGGGTCCGCGGGACGGCCCACAGCGATGGGTGGAAACTTTATCAGACATGGCGCAGTAACGCAACCAGTGGCTTTTCTGCATTCGGCCACTTTCATCTGGTTGTTAATTTTCGTTCCATTCTGATTAGTCTAACGCATTTTCCTCATTATTCCATTTTCTTGCATTCTATTTGCGTTTAACCACACTACCTTGCCGTTGTTATTAATTGTTATTCTTGCGATGTGAATCGTGGCAACTTGATCCACCGCATTTCTCTGCTCGGATCATAGCTGACCAACTGAACTGAATACACCGAAGCGTTCAACAGTGTCCTTCAGTCTGTTCAGTGGTGTTTGCATGGCCCGCTGCGTTAGACCCATGGAGAACAATGTCGTCCGCATACTCCAGGTTTGTCAGTCGGTCACCTGGCAGAACTTCCGCTCCGGTAGAATTTGAAAGAACCGAGTCCTTCATGATCATTTCGATCACGAGGTTGAAGAAGTAAAGTAAAGACAACCCTGGCGAATCCCAATTGTCGTGCTGAACTCAAGTGACAGTTTCCCGTAGACCCTTACCCAGTCTAGGGAGTCACGGTAGAGAGGCTGCATACTGGAAAAGAATTTAGCCGTTACGCCCTTTGTGGATAGGCAGTTCTACAAGCGGGCGCGACCAACAGCGTCGAACGCGGCTTTCATGTCATGGAAAACCAACCTAATCGGTCGTGTGTCTGCTCAAAAATTTGGCGATTAAGTCAATAAGGGCGTAACATAACAACCGTCTAACCTTACAATACGTTTAGGCTACGTGAAATAGAATAATAGACTGAATGAAAATTATACTGTTGCTCATCCCAACACCGGCACCCCAATAATAGACTCCTTGATACTTGACGATCTGGGTATGTGCTGATCACTCACTACCAACGGAGAAGTGGCATCCAAAATAACTCGTAACTTGTCAACGCGGAGGAACGAGAGTGTTACGTCACGACACGCTACGGTGACCAAAGCACAAGCTCGTCTAGACAATTTTGAAAAGTTGATATCTTAACGGTTGGATTAACGCATCCCAAAACGACATTGTCAGCAAGTAATAGCCATAGCAACACTACCGGCCAATCACATCGTGCGCTTTTGTCATGTCTGTAGATGACCATGTCATCTGCGCCCTCCAATCGTTTTGGTTCAAAAAACATAGGACCTCGCAAATGTCCGGGTCCACCTGACTAGATGGAATCGAACACAGATCTAGCTGAATTATTCTTCCACCCGCGGGAGCTCTGTAAATCGTTGCGTCGAATGAGCTAAACCAGCATGCATGACATTCATTTGTGGTATACTAGCCTGATGAGAAACCACTGAAAAGGAGCTTGTTCGCTAACTTTTGTTTCTGATGTCTACACCTGGAATATTTATTGTTATCATAACGATGCGCTTTATGACAATCCATCCTGCTATACTTCGGTGCTGGATCGTTGTTGTTTAACTGAACTAAACTGATCTTACTTCTTGTTCAGATGGCGACTTCAGTGTTTCATCTGCAAGCAGCGTAACGTTGGTGCATGCATCCAGTGTCACAAATCCAGTTGTTATCGTGCTTTTCACGTGACATGCGCTCAACACGCTGGTCTGTACATGAAGATAGAGCATACGGATGACCCGGGTGATGCAGGAATACGAAAGAACGCGTTCTGCGACCAGCATTGTCCTCCCAATCATTTTACGGTACGTACCCAAAACTCATCTCCCTAACTGAATCAGTCTCATCGGCGCATGTATTGCATACTTCATTGCTCTTGGACGCCGCGTGCATCCTGATGTAGCACAATCCTGAGCGACAGTGTGTAATTGCTGTACAATTTTGATTCTCATTTTCTTTACACACCCAGCGAAGTATCCCATTTCCCCTACTGGTTTGCATTGCATTGAGACGGCGAGTATGCTGCTTCACACATCACATGTGCCTTGCAACTTCTGTAAGGTTCGCTTCTGGCTCGAAGCCGGCTCACTAATCTTCATAGTCCAACCGAGTTTGGACGATTCCATACACACACGAACGTTGATATACACAACTTTGTCCCCCCCCTTATGCCATTTCTCGCATTTGCTTCCATTCACACTTTTTGCTCACCTCATTAGGGCTCCAACACGGGCATGTACGCAAACTCCGATTCAGAGAGCCCTCAGTCAGCGGAACAAGTTGCCCGCATACAACTGAGGAAAGCCCGAAAGGTGCTGGCCGAACGCCGTAATTCCAAGCCCTCTATCTGCGTTCCCATAGTGCCTCAAGCGAAGACTGAGGTACCGTTACTTTTCCCGGTTGTTCTTTTGCATCTCGAGCGTTTTTCACGTTTATCTCCCTCGAGTACTTCGTTGAAACACTTTGACCGACGCACTGCGCTGTTTTACATCACCTAGCTACTGTACCTCGGGACCTCCGATAAACTCCCCATGATCACCATTGATTTATGTGCATGCCCTTCAGTATATGCTATTCAAGATACAGTACTTCACAACTCACTCTGCTGTATACTTCATATATTCTGCAACTTCATTACATTGGGCTGTCAGGTACATGAAACCACAGTTCAGCTCTGCATTTTAAACCGCTTATTGTCGAGCAGTAGTCACCTACGACTGCTGGAATTTTTAAGTACGCTTCGGAGCACTGGAAGTACTGACCCGATTTCAAGTTGCTTGCCGATCGGACACATGGTGCCTTCGGCTAACGGAGAGGAAAACGTCTTAGAAACCCCGAGATAGTAAATAAATAACTAAATGATTTATTCTCTACGGCGCGAGATACGCCTTCATGGTACCACAAACGCGCAACATCAGTAATGGTACAGAAATGTTACAAATTAACCAGTACATACTAGATATATGTGTAGTATGTTGGTGCATGTGTAGGTCACCGTGTTGAGTGAATTTGTTACTATTACTTTGAATTAGTGAGTTAGTTCTGTGATTTCGCCAATATGGGTAGAGATCAGTTGAAATCTTTGAAGTGGTTTACTTTCAAAAAATGGATAAGATCCTTCGGTATGGCAAGACAATGACTTTATTTAGTGGCGAGTCATATCCGCCACGTCATAGTGTTGTTAAGCAGACATTTGTAACTTTTTATAGGAAGAACGCTTGTCAGGCAAAACCCACCAGGTTTTGGAATACTGCCGCCGAACTGTTAGCTGGACCGGGACTAACGCGAACCACCCAGCTGGCACCACGTGGAGGTTGTTCGGCTAGCCATGTTAATGAGCCGTTCTAAATAAATCCTACTCGATCACGATTGTACATAGCTTTCAATGTTTCTTGTATTTGTAGGTAAGGATACATTCGAAGCTAATTGATGTGGATAAGCTTGACTGATGAGCGCGGCCAACAGTCTCCATCAGGACCCATAGTGGGTTGTCATTGCCTTGATACTGCACTGATTCCTCTATCTTGTTGACTGAGTGGATCCAGGGCACAGATGAATCTTGACCCTTCTTTGGTAAATGAACCAACTTTATGAACCTCATACACTTTCAAAGTGTAACCTGCCGTTACGTGACTGGTCTGGCACGCTGTTGGTTCTCCCTACCATCGTACAGCCGCCAAGGTTCGTCCACTGATTCACTCGCCTCAATGTTTGAATGATTTCTGGTGGCCAGCTCACCAAACAGGATACAGCATTGATAAACACGTTCTGATTCCTCCGTGGAAATGGCACATCAATGCCGCAGTGGGACCAGTGTTACTGTACGGATTAGCGACACGGCCTGCTGCGCGCCGAAGACATTTAGAGACTGCTATGTTTGGTAAGCGAGGCTTTCTCATATCTGGTGGAACCACTGCATGATCTATGCTTACGTTCAACAGTCGGTATCAGGCAATAGATTCCACATAGGGCTGCTTTTGGTTACATCACGATGTTAAGGTGGGTCAACCACCTGTCCGTATGTATTGTACTCCATCAGCGTTCCTGGTTAGGTCAACCTCAAGATCGTCCATCGACGAAGAAACTGACTGCTCAACTTGATCTGGTTAGTGCTTGTCGTCTTCCTGTATGGGGCTCGAAGGACCGGCCTCACCAGTATCCATGGACCCTGTCCTACATGGCTCAGTTTATTACTTCTGCCTATCAACTCTTCTACTTAACAAAAATACCTTTTCTCTCCTCTCTTGAAATTCCATCATTGTGTCATTTTATTTCTCCTTTCCCCTAATTTTTGTTAGTTACTTTTATGATCATGGCAACTAGTTCCATCGCACGCCAGTACGGGAGTCATATTTGGTACAGTTGATTGATGTTTTGACCACATTACTTCATTGGACACAACTTTATTTGGCATTCATCGTTGCCCTACTGGATCTCATGGTGTCGAACAAAAGTTTGATTTGTCATGTGGTTGAGATCACTAACGATGTGACACATGCTTGCCACCTGGTTGACGAGTTAGTCCAAATCAACGAAGCAAACTGTTGACGTCGCATTGAGGACGGCACGATCTCGCACTCGATGCATGATATAACATTAAGCATTGTGTCGCTTGTTTTTGGATTTTATTTTGTATTTAGTGTCTCTTTTTAATTTATCCTATCTTTTTGTATTGCCACGCAATAGCTGTTTCTCACTTTTGGCTAATGTATAATGATGAAGATGATTTCTGAAGGATGCCTCCGGTTACACGGTTGTCCCAACTAATTAACCGCCATTTCATTATGCGACAGTGGACTATAGTCGTTTTGTCTTGTTAAAAATGGGTCTCCCGTCGCATCGGCTACGATGACCCTTTGTCAGCACTCTGGCATGTGTATTTCAATGTTGTGGTCAACTGTCAACATTTTAAAGGACCATTTATCTTGGTTCGCCTCGGAAGCTGCCTCGGCCAGTGCCCCCAGGCGATAAATACGATGAGCCTGTGCTCAAAGTTTTCTGTCATCCTTTTCCTGCCTCTTTCGCCTATCTTGTAGCCAATATGTGGGCGTGTCGAATTTCCATTCAGCGATACTTTCCCGATTTCTCAACTCACTGCAGATGATGGCGGCTAAACTGACCGATGTATCCGGTGATGTGATGAACTTCCTTCGCCAAGCTTATTCATTTTGGAAGCTTAAGCGCGAACTTCGGCGGGGAGTTCCTTTGTTGAAGCGTCTCCAGGCCAGCTCTGTGCATCGAAGCGCAGCAAGCTTTGTGAGTGTTCATCTATCTTCTTGGTACAGCAGTATTAATTATCCAACATGATCTTGATAAATTTCCCCAAAATATGGCTGCTGCGATGTCCTCTGTTTTCATCCTTTTTCACGCCTTTCATGATCAAGGGTTTCAAGCTGTACAGGAGCACTCGGCGTCTGGGCTCCATTTCTCTCCGTAGACTGTTGCTTAACTGCCGTGAAACATTCGGTAATTCTATAATCAACGCCTATGTTTATTTTCGGTAGTTTGTATATCAAATTCTGTTCTGAGCGATATATCATTACTTTGTATTGCTTCAATTCGCAGGCTATACTTTATTGCTTGTGATCTCCGTGACCCAGTCATACCACTCGTCGCGACACAATACCTTAGACCTTAGAGTTTTGCTCTCGTGGCAATCGACTCTTCAGCTTGTCCCTTCAGTGGCTCCATCACTTACTACCCAGACTTCCTCTCGGATTGTATTTGTGTGTTGACTAGCGGCTCTTTCATCGTATATCATCTACACTAATAACCTTGCATCAGGTTTCTTAAGTAGGTTTATTCATAGCTGTTTCCACTTGCCGAGGCATTCCATGCTGATTAATTTCGGGGCCCCCATGAGAACTAGTAACGCAGATTCGTATTTCTGCTCATGATGCGATCTTCATATCTTTCACCAGTCTTATGCGATCCACCTATTTTGGCCAGATATTTCTGTTGTTGTGGACTGTTCCCCCCGTCAGCTTTGATATTGTCTTTACCTTTCCTGAGTGGATTAGTCATCGCGTTCAAATCCCATTGAGCTTTGTGTATTCGTTTGCGCAAACCAAGCGCACATCGAGCTTCGCATTTCTCAGCTCATACCTTTCCGTCTTCAAACATTTGCCCCGACCAAACAGGCTGCCGCAGCTTCCAGTGGCGATGCAGAGGCACAACGAATGCGCTCCAAACTTCAATTTTGGCAAAGGTTACGGCAAAATTTAGAGAAGGCTCGTCTTCTCTCGGAGCTAACAAGAAAGCGGGAACGTGTGAAGCGAGAAATCTTTCGGACGTTAGAGCTGGAAATGGGACTTCAATTAAACTTGCTGGATACGTTTCTGCTGCGCCTGTTGGACCAGCTCCTGGTGTGTCCACCTTTTTGTTGCGACACCGCTTGCACTTACCTGTCATTAGCTGGGAATTATACCTATCCATACGATTAAATGTTGTGCTTACCGTTGCTATCCACCGTTTTCCCCTTTCTACGAGTGCTGCATCCAATTCTACTCTGTTCCAGGCGTTAGACAAGCATCAGTTTTTCGCCGAACCTGTCGGTTCTGATCTGGCTCCCGACTATTACCTGATTATCAAGAATCCTATGGACTTTTCGACAATGCGGAAGAAAATTGAGGACGCGCAGTACTCCACCATTTCCGAATTCCAGTCTGATTATCATCTAATGCTCAATAACTGTTTCCGTTACAACCGACGCGATAGTATCTACTACACGGCCGCTACTCGAATGCTGGAACAGGTTGGTGATTGCCTCCGTTGTTCTCTGGTGTATATTGTTTCCTGTTGCGCGCAAGTCACTACTACCAAACGCTCGTTTGATGTGTACACTTGCATACCACTAGTCTAACCCATCAGCCGGTGGCCGAACGAATTGCACGTCTGCCTTGTAATCTTGAGGTCACTTTTGAATCCGCGCAGTAGCGGGCGACCTCGTTGTGTACCAAGCCCTTGTACGACTAGCGGTGGTCGCATAATAGCGACGCGTCTGTACAGTTTTCCGGCGCGTACTGCTGATGCCTCACTTCTAGTCTAACATATCACACTTTTCATCCTTCTTGTTTGATTCACGCTCATCGTTTTCGCGTTAAGACACATTGCCAGTGTTGCACTAAATCAATGAGGCGGTTTTGTGTAATGCCGTAAGACACTCTTTTCGATCCACGATGATGTTCCGTTTTTAGGGCAAACAAATATTTGAGGATGCATTTTCCATCGCCGAACGGATTGGACTTTCAAAACGCACTGGTCTGACTCCTTCCGTCACACCACTCGCAAAGGAGGAGCCACCAAGCGAAGATCCCTCCAAGCTGAAGGAGAATGGCGTATACATCTCCGTGTCCTCCGATCACACTGTCACAAATGAAGGTTCCCGTGTTGTTCGTCCACATGAGCAACGGACGGTCTCTTCAAAGTCACATAGTCCTCCGAAAGAGTTTTCCAATGGCTTGCCTGATATTTCCGTCTCATCTAGTACTCGAAGTAGACTTCGCAACTCCGCTTTCGCTTCGGCGAATCATGTGAAGATGGATGGACCTAAGCTTAATGGCTACCTGAATCCTATTGAACTCCCAGTCAGGCGACGCCGAAAACGACGGTATGTTCCCTCGTGTCCCATGATATTAGTCTAAGTTTCAGTACCAGAAGCCTTTCCTGGTGTATATATCGACCGAAACATGTAGCTCTACTAATACGTGGTCTGCGTCTCTCCTGCTAAGTAGTTTGACAGGATTGCGAAAATATATATTAGGGTCATGTTTATGTCCATTATCCTTCCATCCGAATTTTCAATTATTGCCGTTAATTTGATTGACGTTTTTCGCCACCTTTGCGATTCGGAGCATGATAGCCTCGATAGAACCCAAACGACTTATGGAGTATCTCTGCTCTTGTACGACCACCACGTAGTGTTTCGTGCCCGACACTTCACTGTTCATTACGTGGTAAGGTGTTCTCCGTGTGTTTGCAAGATGACCAGCTGTTACCGATTGAAAAAGTCACATAACTGCTCCGATAAACAGGCACAACTCACGCCACAAACACTTTTGCTCGCTCTTCTCATAAACATGATATTATCGAGTCACAAAAATTCCTTGGCCTTAGGGCACACTTTTCACTGCGACTGTTGAAGTCAACCTTCGGGAACATCCAGCTTAGAGTGTTTCTGGTTCGTCTTGATGCTTGTTACGTCTGCCATCGAATCGTACAAGTAGCACTACGCACGAATCGCCAAAATCAGTGAACGCTCACACAAGCGGAACTAAACCATTCTGTGATAAAATGTCTGATCTTATAGCTTCGTCGAGCGACAACCAAAAGCAGTCGGTCTTTGAACCTCAAATGTGCGAAGAGATTAGGCCACGTATGCGTAGCCTTATATATGTGGTGTTTCGGAGAAGGACTGGTTCCATCGACACACAAATGATACTAGTAGATTACAACGCCTCTCAGAAGTGTAGGCATTCAATTTCACGACGAAATTCCTTTTAGACTATTCACACCAGATCATTACATGTATATAAATGATAAGTACCACACTATGTGAGCAGTAGTTCTGTCCAGTTGGCTCACATGCTCCTGACTTTATGGATTACCTGAAGTTCACAAACCGTTGGTCCCCTTGTGCCCAGTGATTGACATGTCTGCGTCCGCCTTCTACTCGGTTCCGGAATTGTTAAAGCACTGTGCACGAGTATAAAACCTGAGAACATATGAGTACGTAGTGCTATCATTCGACGTGGAGTCACTTTCCGCAAACTTTGCCAGAAGCCCTCAATTTCCCATCAATATCCCATTGCTTACACTGAAAAATTGACCTCACCATGCATTTCTGATATGATGCTATTCTAGACAAATAGACGGGGTTGCAATAGGATCACCATAGGAACGCTGCTTGCTGACATTTTTCTTGTCAAGCTTGAACGCCGGCCTCTATCTGTCATCGCATCGTTTGATTCCTACTGGAGGTACCTGCGTGCTACTGATTGTAATGGTTTGGAGCACCCGCCGTGTGTCTTGGATTGCGACACGGAATCTCAATTGTGGCCTCGGTTGACTTTTAAGTCAGCCTCTGCCATTCCAATCACTGGGACCAGATCCGAAGTGGAGGGTTCCGGTGTTGCTTTATTCCATCATTGCACTCCACAATACGTTTTGTCCTTATCTGGTCTGGGAGTGAAACGCGGCACGCGATGGTTTGCGGCTACCGCCATGATCATCAGGCGATTGAACCCCTGAGCAGGGCTTGACGGAGCGGTTAGAAGTTGATTGTCGGTCACTGGGTGGATGATTCCTTTATGGTCTGAAATTCAAAGGTTGATGTTGCATTTCTGTTTACAACGAAGAATAGCTAGCTTTCGTGAGCATATTACTAAGCAGGTGGGGAGGTGGCTCACTACAGAGAATCGCTTTTAGAAAATCTACTTGCATAGACTAATACACGAACTTTCGTACGAACGGAATTTGCTTCTTTGCCTGTGTTATTGTATCAACAGAATTTAGTGTCCGGAAATGTTAAGTAACGAAAAGGATTGCATTCCCAGAAGATTACTAGATAACAGTAATCCCTCTGTTTTCATCCGGACGCACTCTGTGATGCGTGACAGGCGAGAACCCATCGTTACGGCGCCGAAAAAGGGTTATCTTTCTGACCCTTGCATAGGCGTCCCATTCGAGTTATTGAACAGGAGACCTTCCATTGCAGTGATCTAATAGTTCCCACCTGTTTACCCTCATGATGTGGCCGAAACTATCCCCTTTAATATCGGTCCAGTCCAAATCATTTATCTGATATCAAGTTGTTTGCACCTGTGGTGTAAAACACGTTGGACACACGACCAGACGCTTGGCAAAACGGATAGCAGAACACTGCCCATCAATGGAAAGGCACGGTTAGCAGTGTCGACAACTCTATTTGTGATTACTGAGTGCAAAGAGGACATCAACTTACGACTATGGACGATCCACGCCTTAATAGTGATAAATAACCGGGTGCTGTTTTAGTGTCCACGTAGGTCCTGATGGTCAATATAATCTTCCTCCAATCCGATGCTTGGGCACCAGTTTCCCGTGAGCTAAATCGCTTTTGATTGATATTCACTTCCGTTACTGTGCACGCTTTGTGCAGTGTCGTTTTTACTAACTGCAGCTACCTTTGTGTAATTTTTTGCGTAGACCTTCCCCTGACTCGATGTTGTGCACAACCACAACCGACGGCCGCAAGAAAATGAGACAAGATCGAATTAACTTCACTCCCACCTCACGTGGCGACGACAACCTTTGTTGGCACTCCGAATCTCCAGTCACTACCGGATTGTTCAGCTCAAATATCCCATCACACCCTGCAGCTAACCTTATGATGAAAACGCTCCAGTGGTCAAATGTCGACTCTTTCGCGGAAGCAGCCAATCCGTTGCTTCGACACATGGACAGCAGACACGGGAAGAATGACGCGACCGACATGAATGGTGTGACCAGAAATGGACCCGCCTTTACACACTATCGTCACTCTCCCGTGGTACGTTATGAAGAGGAGGAGGAAGAGGAGGATAGCAGCGACGAGGAGAGTAGTGACGATGGCAACAACCAGATCGGTACGGCGAATGGCACTCGACAGAATGCTGATATCAAACGTGCCCATCTTCGCACCCGATCGGAGACAAGCCCATTGGTATCAACCACTGTGGTGGTCGGGAACAGCCGAATGGCATGCGTCTCCTCACGTAGGCGTCCGCAAGGTTCCAGTGGACGTGCTGTCAAAAATCTATGTGTAAGAGCTTTTTGTACGTTTTGCGCTTGTCGGTGCCTTCTTTGTGTTTGTATATCGCATAAATGCGCCAACATCGTTGGTATGCAGACCCGCTGTGTCTTTTCGAACTCCAGTCTCATCGCAACCCAAGGGTACGCTAGGCTCGTCAAAGGAGTGCTTGTTGGCTCACACCATATGCTAACCGGGTTTTGTGTTTAGAGCGGGTATGAAACGTTGTATGCGGCGGTCGAATAGTGAGTATCTCACCATCTTCAAAGGTTGCTTATAAGTTGTTTCATACGCGGCATCCAAACAAAAGGGGCATTACAGATCGGGAAATAGATATGGAGTAGATTTGGTATTTATTCAGACACTATTGGTATGCTCAAGTGGTGGGTATTACGCAACGGTTTCTTTTATGCTCTCTTCCATTCAATGAAATGTATCCGAACCTGTTATCCACGGTTCACATATTTAGGTACATTTGATCCCCATTCTTCACTGATATCAGTTGTCTACCACTACTACTACCACTGCTGTCGTAATCATTCTTTCCGGATCCGGTTGGATTTTATAACCAGAAGCCGGCCGGTGACCGAACGGACAAGGCGTCTACCTTGCAACTCTGAGGTCGCGGGTTCGAGTCTGCGTAGAGAACCGAGCGACCCACGTGTGACTAATGGTGGTTGTGTGGCAGCCAAGCATCGATACGATGTGATGGCCTACTGCTGGAGCCTTTTTTACTGGACCCAAGTTCTTACCATACCGGCCCTTTTGCAAACAAATCTGTTAAACCTAAAAATTCTCCTCACACGTAATTTTGGCTTATTGCTATAATCTCGCCCCTTGCCTCACCCATCTAGACCAAGTCAGTAATCGCTGCTCGCAAGGCTAGCAATGCTCGCCGAAATAGACACAGTCGAGCTGACCGGAAACGGCCTCCATTATCCAGCCCAATATCAAAGCCCAGCGACCCGTCTCGATCACACACCACTACTTGGACTGACGCGGCAAGTCGCACGCCAATCAGTGAACCCACCAATGACACCCTGACAGTGCGAGTACCTCATGTGGAAGAGGTCCCAAAATCACCGCAGCTCCGTGAGGCTGCCAGCTCTTCCTTAACCAATGACCTAAGTGATGGATGCTCCCATGTTGAATCCCCTGGCCCCCTGTCCACAAGCACTAGTATAGAACCTCAAGAATTCTTCCATCAATCCTCAGACGCACATTCCGCACCAGGCAGCCCATGCTCCCGAATGCGTTTTGCCGGATCCGGGTCATTCGATGCAGTGATGGAACGCCCGCTTAATCCACTGGATGTTGTGTGGGCAAAATGCCGTGGATCCCCTTGGTATCCTGGTCTGGTGAGTTGTGACCTGTTCATAACCTCAGTATGGAAGAGACAGCAGCATGTTTCTGTGCAACACGTAAGACCGCTTATCTCGTGATTGTGCAAGTGACATTTTCCCCAACCACACTTGATGTCATGTTGTCAGCTGTGACCTGTACCAAATCCCTTGGTTTATTGCATTGCCACAGCCATTTCTGCTAAGCCCTCTTTACACTCGCATCGCATGAAAACGTGCCATCCTTTGCAGATAGTGGACGCAGCGGCAACTGAAGGATACTCCCACAACGGCGTCCCAGTCCCGCTGCCGCCGGACTCTGTGCTCAAGTGGGGTAAACAGATCATCTCTGATGGTAACACAAGTGACCAGCACAGGCCAGAGGTGTTGGTGCTGTTTTTCGACACGAAGCGCACGTGGCAGTGGTTACCCAGGTACAAGCTGCACATTCTTGGCTTCTCAGCTGATGTGGACCGAGAACGATTGCGGGAAGGTCGTCGAAGTAAAATGAAAAATTCCGTGAGTTGTTCACCTTATCCTGAAAAATATTCGATGTCAATGAAATGCCACACTATATTTGAATTTCGACTGCCAGCCTCGTGTCGATCAAGTGTAAATCATTTCAATCACTTTATTCGCTTCTGAAATGGAAGCGATCCATTACTGCGCAGCGGGCGACAATGCATATGTTTCTCCTCGTATGCTAAACTCCCTACTTATATGCATAGTTCTTCGAAACCGTTTCCTAGGTGGCGTACAATTATAAGACCAATTTAACCTACATTAATAATACAAATATTTACCGGACTTCCGAAAGGCTGTACTTACAAAGGGACAATCCGGGATCCAAACGTCTTCACTTTCGTACTTGAACACAAAGTGCGAATGGTATCGATGTCATGTTGGATGATGAGAGTAAGCTTTTGGTAAAGTAAACCCAGTTCTTCTCCAAAATGTTCCTGATGTTTTGAAATCGTTGTCACCAGAACCGTATCCCTCAACTGCCCCTACCGTTGTTAACTTCTGGCGACCGCTGTCCAACACAACCGTTCGTAGTGCATTAAAGGTTTCCACCGAAGGGAAACGATGCTATGGATTCAACTAAATCATCATCACCCACATGTGACCCACGTACCTGTAAGCTTTTCGACCGATCTGAAGCATTTACCCCGGTTCCGACCATGATTTTGTGCACGACTCCATGATTCTCATTTATCTAACCTCAGTACGGCACCTAACACCATGAGTACTTACTCTTAATCTGAACTCACAGCCCGACAAACAGCGCTATTGTCATCAACACAGACGAACGAGACGAATGCTGGTTGGGATCGAATCAAGTACACTGTGAATCGGGTAATGGAACCGTTTGCATGTCTAACTCTAGGTTCACTACTGGAACGAGGTTGCGTGAATCGCACTTTCGTTAAGCGTCCAATTCCGAAATAGATTTCTATTAGTTTGATTGGGTTACATCCGGTGATCCTGAAGCAGCGTTTCACCAGGAACCCCAGGATAGCTCGCGAGAACGATGGATACCAAACAGTCGAATGCTGTTCCAACTCTGAAGCACAAGCTCAGGAAAGGCGTCAGAGAATGGAACAATTAGAGCAAATAGATCACCAACGTCGGGTCGATTTCTTAAGGAATGCTTCAATGTTGCCGTCGGTTCTATATTCGCATGAGCCAAGTGGAGCAAGAACGTGTTAACGCGAAGCATGACAATTGGACTCGATGATAATGCACCTACTCGGGTGCATAAAGTCTGCTTTGACTTGACTTGACATGATCCTTTTCCGTCATCCCCTAGAGGCTACAACACGACTGTTGACTTAACCGCAACAAGATGCTTTTGAGCAGTGGTAATCGACCGTTGCCCCTCATCAATACATGTTAGCTGAAGATGAGAAGCACATCTCAGCCAATGTGCCGCAATACGAAGAAGATAAGGTAAAACCATTGACTGCAAAAAAGTTCAAAAAGCATGTCATATAATGCTAATTATAATAATAAACATTTGAGATGAGATCGTAATTGGAAGGGGAGGGGATGGATAAAGAAACTCACAACAGAAACACCATTGTGGCCGACGCTTCACCATATCAGCAAGTTTGTCCTACCAAACTTGTTCCCCTTCCTTTGGCCCCCATCCCGGCAGCCGGGATGCGCCAACCGATGCCAAATACGAAGTGACGGTTTTCATTCCTCGCGACTAACTCATCGCTTGACCTCTCTTCTTATTCCTTCATCCACACCCCGGGCGCGCAAGCAATACGTCGCGGGAGTTTGTGGGCTGGCACGCTCACACCCGGCCTACCCATCTGAGCCTGGTGCGTGATATAATGGGGCTAAGCGGTTCACTTGCTCTTCCTGCACCAAACACACGACGCCGAGCACACTCAATGCTCACGCGGTGCTCCCAACAGACATGAGCTAAGCTGGGAAGGCAGCGATGATCGAATGTGACGAGCCTCCTTGTCGGTCATTTTGATGGGCCAGGTTTCACAACCGAAGATTATATACATATATATATATATATATATGTATATATTTAATAAAAATTCTCTCCCAATCTGCCTTCACTGGTCCAGACACCCATATCAAGAGGTTAGAGCAAGTGGGTTGAATTTGATGGAAGTTCCATAATTATAATACCATTTTGAATTAATGCTCTAATGACTTTAATATTCATATGTGAAGTATGCCCATCAGCAATTAACAGACCGGGTCTACCTTATGGTAAAAATGGGATGAAATGGTTTATAAACCAGTCATTAAAACAAGCACTGTTCATCCAACCTTCTTCAGAGATATTGTATCTAGCATTTTCAGGTTCATTTTTCGTCCAAGGAAACTTCGATTTCTGGTCCCATAAAGGATATATGAAGAAAGCATGGTCCCATCAATCCGAGCACATCTTTGCACTTCGATAGAATCCGTGAGGCACGAATGACACGAAAAAGGTTTTCGATCCCCTTTCCACAAATCATTTTCAATCGCTTAGGGTCGAGTGGAAAGCCATTCTCATCAACGTTCTAAACTCTTTCGGGCATATTCATAATGTCATTGACTGTAAGGGTTTCATTAAGCAGCTAAAACCACTCTTCTAATGTCTGTTTATCTGAAGCCAACTGGACTTTTGATATTTTAGTTGCTTTGGTGTTCGGCACATCAGATCCTGATTTCTCTTTATAAAACTGCATAACCAATCTCGACCAGGAACATTCATTTTAAAAAGAACAGTCATATCCTGACCGACAGAAGTAATAAAATCATCTATAACTTTTATCGCTTCTGTCCCGTGCTCATTCTCCAAGGTGCACAACTTGAACAGGTAGATAGTTTCGTCTACCTTGGGAGCTGTGTTTCCGCTGACGGTACTATCAACAAAGAAGTTTCGCTTCGTATCGCTAAAGCTCGATCAGCATTTGTCAATCTGAGGCACTTGTGGCATTGTCGTGACGTGTCATTCTCACTAAAGGGCCGCATTTACAGCGCATCAGTTCGCTCAGTATTGTTGTATGGGTGCGAGTCCTGGCCGATTCGCGTGGAAGACATGCGTCGTCTTTCTGCATTCGATAACGGTTGCTTAAGGAGGATCATCATCATCATCATCAACAGCAGTACATCAGCCATTTGAACTGATGCTTCACTGCCATACAACCATGAGGACCTATGAAATAAAGAATAAAAAGAGGGAGAGAAGGGGGACTTACCTGAAAACCTTAATGCCCTGAGCAAACATTCAGGGTCAAGGCGCCTACACCTTGTGTAGACAACATTCCGTCACAAACAGCTGGCTATCGTGCAAAGATAAGGCGGCATCGGCGAGACAGCTTCCTTGCGGCTTTCAATGCCACGCGTCATAATCAGCCATTACCCCGCAGATAACTCAGCACCAAACACACTTTAAACAGACTATCCGATTAGGAGACGGCAGCAGACGCGCCACTGGTGTCGGTTGCGAGCCATATCCTGTAAAGTCTCGAGCCAAGCCCAAGGTGAGTCACGTGGACTCCAACCCGGAAGGCGAGACGGACCAACGGCACCCAGTTTGGTCGTCAGTGACTTCATTTCCCGCTGCCAAGTCAACTTCTGTCCACCTCGAGCCTTGCGCCATCCGACACCTGGTAGACTGAACAAGGCCCTCCTAGGTAAGCGGTGACCAGGCATGCGGAGCACGTGCCCGAGCCAACGTAACTTATTCAGTGCTATCTGTTGTTCTAGGGAGCTAGCATGATCATCACCACCTAGTACTCGCCTACGCACATCATCGTTGCGGACACGCTGGTGCCATCCGACACCAGCAATGCTTCGCAAACAACGATGATCAAAGACTTGAAGGCGCCTCAGATCTTCAGACCGAATGGGTCAAGTCTCACTACCATACAGCAGAACGGCCCTCACTGTGGCCTTGTATACACGGCCTTTCAGACGGAGGGAAACTCCCTTCTGTCGCCAAAGATGACGCAGGTTCAAGAAGGCAGCTCTGGCCTTTGCAATGCGTGAGCTCACGTCAGTTTCTATGCGCCCATCATTGCTGATGCAGCTGCCAAGATAATTGAATTGATCAACCACCTCGAGTTCCTCGTTAGCAAGCGTCAAGGGGTCATCGAGTGGCTGGTGGTCCTGCAGCAACACTTTGCACTTTGAAGGTGCGAAGTGCATACCAAAAAATGGGACCACTCTGGATAGGCTATTCAGGGTTGGTTGTGCCGCCTCAACATTGTCGAAAAGCAAGACGATATCGTCCGCATAATCTAGATCAACTAACCGTTCATCAGGCAGCACTTCAACACCTACATCGTGAGATTCCGCAAGGGAACACTCCATGATAGAATCCACGACGAAATTGAACAAAAACGGGGAAATCGGGCAACCCTGTCGAACGTCACTTGTAGTCGAAAAGCTATCCGATAGGGCACCATAGACCCTGACGCGGCCTCTAATGTTCGAGTATAGAGCACGAAGGATGTTCACATATTTCGTGGGAACACCTTTCCGCGCAAGTATTTCGAACAGAATCGATCGATCGACTGAATCGAACGCACTCTTGAAATCGAGGAACACAGCTATTGTCGGTCTGCGGTATGCGTGGCGCTGCTCTAGCACCTGCCGCAAAGTAAATATATGGTCTATACAGCCACATCCTGGGCGGAAACCGGCCTGCTCTTCCCTAATCCGAGATTCCCGTTCTGCAGTGAGGCGACGAACGATAATCGAGGCCAGTAATTTTGTCACAACTGGCGTTAGGCTAATACCCCTGTGGTTCGCACAGTCTGTGCGACTGCGCTTTTTGTATATTGCCACTATAATCGATTCGCTCCAATTAGCCGGCACACTCTCTTCGTTCCAGATACGTTCGAATAGGGAGGTCAGTGCTTTGCAGAGGACCTCACCTCCATCTTTAAATAGTGCAGGTGGGATGGAATCCGGGCCAGCGGCACGAAAATGATTAAGGGCTGTGATCGCGTTTCGGACCTCGGCCTCCGACGGAGGCTCTAAACTAACCGTCCATGGCTCGTCCTGCATCACCTGAGTAGGAAGAGGTCCGGGAGCAGGGGGCCAGCTGAACTGATGTTCAAAGTGCTCAGCCCAACGAGCCATACGGCGCTCATTATTGTGTATCAGCGCACCCGCACTGACGCCTGGTTTTCTCGGATCAGTGGTGCGTATTAGCTGGAAGAGCTTGCGGTAATTGCCTGCTGCTCCTGCCTCCTTCATTTCTTGAGCCCGACTGGTCCACCAGGCTTCCTTGTCAGCACGTAGGCTCCGCTTTAGTTCACGCCTAATAGGCCGTCTGGTTACACTGTGTTCAGAGCCAGTCGGGAGGTGCCTTCTAGCTTCCAAAAGGTTCACGGACCTCTCGGATATCCAGTGACTGGTGCGATGACGACTGATAGTGCCACAAACAGATGCTCCCGCGTCGTGCATGGCGGCCGAGATCCTATTCCACTGAAGTTCAGTGTCATTAGGACAAGACAGTGAGAGTTCGCTATGCAGTGCTTCTTGATAGGCTTGCCTGACAGAGGGCTGGGACAATTTCTCCGTTGCCAATCGGGGGAGACGCTTTGTGCGCCGTCCGGTAAAGTTCATGGAGAAACGACAGCGCACCAAGGCATGGTCAGAGTCGACACAGGTACTCCAGTACGAGCGGCAATCCAGAATGGAACCGCGCCACCTGTGGTCAATTTGGGTACATCGCTAGCCAGCTACAGGACGCAGAGTGGCACTTCGGCGCCCACTGTGTCTAAAAGCAGTGCTACTAAGCAACAACTGGTGCTCCGCACACAGTTGTAGCAGACGCTCGCGGTTGTCAATCCGTTCGGGGTTAAGCCCACAATTACCACCCAGCTGAGCTTCCGAAGAGCTCAGACGCCCTATTTGTGCGTTCATATCACCTGCAAGTACTATAATATTTGAACTAGTAGCATTGCGTATCGCTAAAGCTCGATCAGCATTTGTCAATCTGAGGCACTTGTGGCGTCGTCGCGACGTCTCATTCTCACTAAAGGGCCGCGTTTACAGCGCATCAGTTCGCTCAGTATTGTTGTATGGGTGCGAGTCCTGGCCGATTCGCGTGGAAAACATGCGTTCGATAACGGTTACTTAAGAAGCATCGCTCGAGTTTGGTGGCAACATCGAGTTAATAATAATGACGTCCGACGTCGCATCTTGGGGAATACGAGTATTCCCTTCAACCAACTGGTTTTGTTGCGCCAGTTAAGATGGCTCGGTCACGTCCTACGCATGGCACCTGAGCGTCTACCGCGTCGCGCTCTGTTCGCTCGTCAAGGACCTGGCTGGAGGCGACCGCGTGGTGGTCAGCCTTCTACATGGCGGCAGCACATGAAATCGCTGACGTCGTGTCTAGCCGCTGTTGGATCCGTACGTCTTCCAGAATGGGGACCCAAAGATGAGGAGTGCCAATGGTTTAGGACTCTTGAAGACACGGCCCGCAACCGGAATCAGTGGAAGAATTGTGTACAGCGTTGTATTGATTCACATGTTTAATACTACCAACATTGAAAATGACAAAAAAGAGAAAAATGGGCGTGTGGAAAACAAACTAAAAATGTTTTGTTCTACTATTTGTCAAAATGTTCCATTCTTCTTGCGGCATATTAGCTGAAGTGTGTTGCCCACCTTCAACTAACATGCCACGATGATTGTAACGCAATGACTCTCCTATCCACTGATTTCCATGGTTTTTATTGGCTCTATGTCTAGTTGCTAGACTGTTGAGATTACTACTACTACTACTCGCTTCTGTGCATGTGGATCCAAACCCCCACTGGGCAACAAGTTTTAAACAGCTGAAAAAGTCCTCTTCTGCTTCATTGAGAACTATTTTGTTGTATTTTCCTTTTAGGTGGTCTCAAATTGTCTCCCTTTTCAGATTGTACAACTTGGCAGCTTTCTTATACCACATGATACCTTTTCTAACTTAAACAACGACTTGTTCCATTGCCGCCGTGTTATATGCTGTCTTTTTACCGATGTTGTTTCCAACCATTCTGAAACACGAAAAGAAATCTACATTAGACCACACATCCAAAGGCTTCAGAAATAAACATGGGGTAAATACACACCGTGATAAGTGGAATTGCCCCACTGGCTTTTAATTTAGGATGCGTAATTCCCCCAACATGCTAGTAACTTATCAATCACGAACTCTCAAATCAACTCATGTGACAAATAGTTTAAACGTGAACAATAATTAACACTATAACCATATTAATCTGTATTACTCGACTTATGGCAATATAATGCGTTTTAGGACAATTATAGGCTTTTAAAAAGTGTAAGATATCTACCTACATGCAGATGACTGCATTGCTCATGTATTCTATATCTAGCTGAAGACTTGTATATGGTGCTGATCGTATGTAAGTGGGAAGCTGGCAGAACGGTGTCACTAAAAAGGATGGTTCTTGCACTGACCAAAACCACCTCCCATTTACGAAAAAGTTATAACTAGAAAAGGTGAGGAACCACCCCCGGTGCGGGACTACCCCCTCCTGATACACCGCCAAAATATGTACTTAATTTATTTTCTCCTTTGATTTTCAGGTTACCAAAGCTTATCGTCGTGCTGTAGAACATCTGTGTAAAGTTCATGGTCGACCGTATCCCTATTCGGACAACAGCAAATTCGGCGAATTGCCTATTTTCACCATCTGAGAATCTCTTCCACCAGCCATTTGTACATTTATCTGCTCAATAGACACATCCCTCTTTAAGAAATCGTCTGGTTTGCGTAATCACGAGGAAAGGGACGCCGGTGGTGTGTTTTATTCCAAACGCGTTAAGTAGCGTGCACCAATTTTCTGTCGATCAAATTTTTTAGTATCTAAGGGAAATTTCTTGAAAGAAGTTTGTTTTCTACACCATAAAATTCTGATGGTTGCATGAAAGCACAGCTCAGCGCTTCTATGAAAACGCACTTTGCCCGTGAGCCATCAGGAGCATTTAAACCAAACTGTCCCAGGAAACAATTTTGTCAATCGCCTACTAGCTGGATTGCCGTTGGCCTCTGGTACAAGTCAAGCAGTACCGCTTACCAAACGTCGTCATCGCTTCCAGCCCAGGTATGGCTGGAGGATAAGCTACTAACGCCAATTCCACTTCTGTTTCTCGTTCCTGTTTCGTACGCTCGAACAAATGATAAACTCGGAAGTCGACTCTGACGCACACACCGGAACCTACTCTGCCATTCATCCCACTCGAGATTCATCCCAACCAACAGCTTGATGAAGTCAAGCCTAGAGAGACAACAGCTCAGCTCAGTGCACTGAGATGCGGTGGGTTTAGGTGCCTTAGTAGAAATGAGCAAGATAATGTAGTTGGGTCAATGGGGGAACGGACACAAATGTCAATAGGTTGGTGATTGCGCCTATCCGATAGAACGTCTAGCAGATGATGTGATTCAAGTCGATGACCTCGTGATGTGGTTAACCTTCCGGCCAGTTTCTGCGCGCTCTTTCGCCATGTTACTGAATGTCCAACTCGACGCCCCTCACAACTAGGAGCCAATTCACTCGGCTAGCAGACATGCGAAGAGCACGACCTAACAAACGCAGGCAGCTGGGTCGGAGTCAGCCGACGCCCCAGAATTTCAGTATTACTCATTCGCTGTTATCGACAAATGTAAGCACCGGCGGTCAAATAAGACCTGTCTGTGCTGCAACCGCGAAGTGCACACGTGTGTAGTCCATGAGGTAAAGTTGGTCGCAATGGGACGATGTAGGTCAAGAAACTTGCACTCCGTCCTTACTAAGTGACTGAACTATAACGACATCGCGAGTGCGCGCCCCCCCCCCCCAATCTCTTGAGCGATGCAAACACCAGAGGTGATACAGCAACCTAGATAGGCAAACTAATCGGGCACTATTAACAGTCGTTTAGTGCGCATTAGGATCGATGGGGTATCGGTTCAGTTCTGTGACAGAACCGCATTTTTCATATTCTAGGCGCATACCAAAGGGCTGGCGCAGTGCCAGCCTATCCAGCAGCCTTGACGTACCAGCTAGGCCCGATTCAAAGAACTGAAGGGTCATGATAGTTTCAATCACAAGCTTTCAGGTCAGAATAGAAACAAATTTCTATAGCGCGTCCCAAGAAGCTGGGCCTCATCCAAACAGATGTAATCAACTGAGTAAGGAGCGATCTTCAAGTCAGGGTTGTTCGTAAGCGTGGTGATGTCAAGCAAGTAATATAGAATAAATCTGTAATCAATACACCCTCTATCAAGACTGCGACTGACTCGACTCACCTGTTCGGCTTTCACGAGGACCAATGAGCCACGGCAACGTGCTGTTGGTGAGTAGTTTGAAGACAGCTGAGTTGAAAGTAACACAACGATGATTCTTATAAGACGTGTTACCCTTTTTAAAGATAGAAAGGATAATTGTAAACCAGCAGGGGAAACTTTTTCCTTGCACTAAATATTACCGAATAGAGTAGCCACGGCGGTCACCAATGAGTCGTTATTCTTCACCGGAATGATAACCGATGCGACTGAGGTATTGTCTTGTTTATATATGCAGTTTTTTTGACCAATGCGTTGAAGGAGTTGGAACAAGAAACTGTTTATCCGATATCAGTTCCGAGAATTCTAGTCAGACGCCGTTGCAGAGTTCAACGGATGCCTCAAAACTGATGTCCAAATGGGGTAAACCCCCGTGCTTCGATCAGACTAACGTAAACTTTGGAAATTCTTCCGCCATGCAGATTTCTTCAGGTAATTAGACAAGTGATCATTTTCTTAAAGCATTGGGGGCAATTCTAACCTTCTCGTAGTTTGCCACTTTGTTGCACGCTGACAACGGAGGCTGTAACTCAGAATGGTGTCGCTACTCCGCAAGTTTCTACTACAGTTGACGAGCTGAGGTACAGATTACTTTCGGCACACAGTTGAAGAAAGCGATCGACGTTGTCAGTACGACATTTACGAAACGTCCTCTGAAACAGTATTCCAATTCCGATAAATGGACTATATGAGCATTAATGCAAATCACAACTATTGCGAATCTGTGCTTTTGGTCTCCAATACTGCTACAGTCAAACCTAAGGCGAGCACTCATGGGACGGACAAAAAATGGTCGTCATGGACAGCCTCATGCATATGGACATTACTCATAGGAGTAAAAGTTGGGGACGTTTTTGCCTAGTCACTATGGCAGCTTGGATTGTATTGAAAATATTGGCCAAAATAAAAGGGCAAGTTACCTTCGGCCGAAACATGTTAATTCTGATGGAGTTTTTGGTTCGGATAGCGTATACGTAACTGTTTACGGGAATCGACTCTGAAAAAGTAGCCCATGTGAGTCCGCTGAGCGACTCCAACACTATAAATACTGCTTGTCATGGATTCGGCAAATTCTGAGGCACAAAGCGTGCAAGTTCTGTCATTTGAATGCTGCCTTCTCGTAACTGTTTCGCTGACAGTGCACCCAACTCCGAGGGAGCGAAGGGCCATATCAAACGATCTTGCCCCGTGTAGGATTGCACTATACGTTTGACATATGGTCTGTCCTCATTGTGTGCTTGGCTCATGAAATCGGTGGTGGTCGATAGTTAACTTGTTGTGACCATTCAGATACAGATTCCACTGTTATTACTGATGTAACCGTTTTACTCTAGTCGTATTCTCTTAGCTCCCAATTTACAAAAAGTACTCGAAATGCGACGAACAACTACCAAGTATGACTATATGCGATGGTCCGTTAACTATGCGCTTATCCATCCGATCGTCCAGCAGTTCTGATAATAAGAAGATTCGGAATTTATCAGGCCAGAAACACTTAATTGTGATACCATTGCAAGGCGAGACCATTTTGCGGTCTGAGAATATACAACTTGTACCGTATATTTTGGACCTTGTATTTGCTGCTTCTCGAGTTTGTAGGTGACATTGCTTACGGCTTTCCTGCTCCCACAGCTTTACTAGTAAGATGTGTAAATCATCCACCAGAGCAGGTCCACGAAATTTGAAAAGGACTGATAGAAGTCCAGCGGCTGTTGCAATTTTGTTCGATTTCGACGGTCCGATCTCACGTTCGACTTCTGTGGGCGGTCGGATCCAAGGAGAGGGCCCAGGGAGAAGGGCAATCAATGCGCGTAAAGGAAGGTGATAATTCAGGCTCATTAAACCGCATTTCAAAATGTGCGGCTAAACGTTCCATACGTTCTGATAAGCTGTGCATTGACTGTCTATACTCGTGGCGCATGGTCTCCCTAACAACGGGTCCATTGCTGCCCATTTCATCTTATGGGCAGCGGCCATTTCAACCTCCGATGCAGGATGAGATCACCACACTTCGCGATCTCTCTTCAGGTTAGCACGCAGTTTTCTGAGGTCTTTAGGAGGCTGTTTGTGCTCTTTCCCAAACGGACTGTGTCGGCGAGCATCCGGAAGTTCCAGAGACTGCGTGAGACCCAATGTCCAGTTTGGCAATTCGATTTGCCACATGATGACATGCCTGCTGCCACTAACCGTTGGTCAATATGTGACCAATGCTTTTCAACCGTGTTCAGTGGGCGCTTACGCAGCCCGGGTGCCAGCATATTTTGATAGGCACTCAGGACACCTGGCTTCACCAGCTGCGTGATATCTATGCGCTCACAGCGTCGTTGCGGACGTCTGCGAAACACACCCGTAGATCGGCACATACAAGAACGTGGTCGAAGTCCACGCTTGTACTCCAAACCGAGCTATAGTTTTGGATAGCCTCCCCAGTGGTAACTAATCGCGATGTGATCGATTTGCGTACATGGCCAGTGAGCGCCATGTCACTCTTTTGGGGGTGCTGTGTCGGAAATCATTGCCCGCGAGAAATGGACACACATCTTCACATAGGTGTGTAGCATCCGCTCACCGTTACCATTATGGTAGCCTACACCGTGTTGCCTGCCCAGATGCAGTTCATCAGCATACTTTCGCAACCTGCGGATTCAAATCACCAACAAGCACCACAGTATCCACCATTTTCTGTAACAAAGGAGCTCGTTCAGTTGGCGGTAGAAGTCATCTTTCACCGAGTCAGTTTGTGGGGTTTTATGGGCAGCGACAAACAGGCACGACAGGTGCGAGTTCGAAACTTAGAACGATCCGGTCAACCTGATGATGCACATCCGGCTGTTGACTGGGATCAAATCGATCAGAACAGCTTCAACTCGGGGCTCAAAAAATGCCTACGCCGGCTGGACCAGTATTTGAAACCGCGTCATCTCAGGGCAATGAGAAAGTGCCGCCGGTGTCACATGTGCGGAATCGCAGGGTAAGCACAGAACTCGAATCTTGCGAGCGGTTTTCCGATAAACAGCAGATATCTATCGATAGGGTCACTAGTGTTCGGGCTTGCTGCCTGTTGGCCAATCTGCAACAAAGTGCGCACGTTGAGGCATGTCAGTCCTATCAAAGATCGTGGGGTCAAAAGAAAACAGATGAACTGACGGTGTCCGTTTTGTTGAACACAGACTTGCCGACTGGCATTAGCGATGCTCTGCGATTGCCTGTGAACTGAAACTAAAAGACAAACGCCTAATGAAGTAAGATGGAGGAAGGTCAAGAATTGGGTGTTGGAAACATGGGAAATAAAAGTGAAGTTGAAGCCGGACGATAGGGATGAAAAAGCGTAAGAAGACGGGGAGGTTTGTGCATTAGTATCCGAACCTCATCCACCCTGCGCCATGCAGCAGACAGAGCGCCGTTGATAATCCTCTGCGATTTCCAGAGCATCAAG